AATCACAGCCTATTATACCAGACTATTTTTTTTAATGGCTTCTATTCATTTGAAGTCATTCTGTACAGGAATAAGCCTCTTGTTAGAGCATTCTGTAATTATTGCTATGAAATATTTCATTGTATTTCAGTCTGGATGAGGAGAGTGATGCATGCAACTGAGAATCACACTAATCCATAGCATATCTATATTTAATATAAATACAAGTAAAACAGTGTAGACTTTTTCATATATAAAAATGTAACTTAAAATTAACTAAGGTTATGGTAGTCCTATTCCAGACAGGAATTGGACAGTACTCTACGGGACCCACCTCAACTAAGACAACCACCCTTACCTCGAGCAGTTTAGCATTATAATCTTTCAGTATTCAGTTATGTACAGTCAGGGATTCTCTTGAAAATTATATATTTAAAATATATTTTATTTAAACATGAAGAAAAACAGTTGTAACGTTTTTTATAAAAATGGTGTAAATATCTGACTGTGAGCATAGTGATAGGCAAACAGAAAACCCATGCAAACAAATAGGCAAAAAAGCACAACCTGACATTCTAGCCTGGAAGTTTCAACAGATGAGAAACTTTGATATATATTTGGAAATAAGGCAAAGGAAACAATTAAGTTTTAGTCAGAAGGAATGCAGAAATTGCTGGACAGTTCAGATACTTACATTAAGCAGCTTACTAGGAAAAGCACCCACAGAAAAAGCCTAAGGCTCTACAGAGACATGAGACAGACTTCTGCATTTATCACTGGATTAGATTACAAAGGTACTACTCCCAGAAGCCTAATTGCTTTCTAGTATTACCTGCCAGCTCAGAGGTGTCAAAAGGCATTTAAGATGGAGAACCCTCATTTGAATTCTCAAATACAATCCCTAAATACAAGGTGTTTTCTTCCGTTTACTACAGTTTGACAGGGCAATTTTATTTTTCCAACCATAAATATTAATCAGTGGTCTATTTTCTTGATAGAAGATTCCATTTAGACTTCATTCAAACCTTCTGAAAGGTGACAACTAGTCTCCTACCTCCAGCACACAGGGAGAGTAAGCTTACACCAAAGAATTCTCCTTCCCTACGGCTTGATAGGCAAAAATCCTCCTGTCAGTACAATTAAAGCATTTAGATCTTTCCTATAAATGCCTCGGCAGGTTATTCTAGCTGATAAGTCCATGGGGCTAACTGCAAACCTAGGTTTCTCAGAGCAAGAGCAAATGTTCTAGTTCCATATGCTGCTGAGTAGAAAAGGATGTGCCTCAAGCTCATTTAAGCCCCAGAAACTGGTCTCAGCTGGGATTTTAACTTCATCCATGCTCCTGCTTGCCCTCCTGGACAGATTGTACCCTGTTGTAGTTGTTGGATTGGCAGCCCACATCTATCATAGATATGTTGCAATCAGGTACTGCGTCCCAACTGCAGCCCACAAGAGGAAGATCTCACATTCACAGCTTTCCATCACCTGCTATGGAGAATTTGCCCCCTCCCCAACTGAGCCAGTGTGACACTTCATTTGAAAGTTCTCTGAACTACACCTGCGAGGTTCTTGTCCCCCAGGAAAAAAAATACTTTCAGAAAAGGTGTCTTTTTTAGTTTTGTTTTAGAGAGTACTTCAGATCTTTCTTCAAGAGCACCACAGACATCTGAATTACCGCCCAGCATACAAAAGAAATCTCTGATTAAGCACAGAGAGAAACACAAAATCACAGAATCATTAAGACTGGAAAATACATTTAAGATCATTTAGTCGAACTGTGAGCTCATCCCCACCATGCCTATTACCTATGTCCCTCAGTGTCGCATCCACATGGTTCTTGAATACTTCTAGGGATGGTGAATCCACTGTCTCCCTGGGCAGCCTATGCCACTGCCTCACCACTATTCCAGAGATTAAATTTTTCTTAATATCCAACCTGAACCTCTACTGCTTCAACTTGAGGCCATTACCTCTCCACCTATCGTTGTTACCTGTGAAAAAAGGCTGACCTCCACTACAACCTCCTTTCAGGGAGTTGTGAAGAGCAATAAGGTCTCCCCTGAGCCTCCTCTTCGTCAGACCAAATAATCCCACATCTCTCAGCCACTCTCCATAAGACCCTTCATCAGCTTTGCTGTCCTTTGGGCACGTTCCATGATGTGAGCAGACGAGGACAGGCATGCCAATCAACTACAAGAGCCGTTGTTGCAATCATCTTCCTCGAGTCCCTCCAGGCTGAAGTAAGCCCTGCCATGCTTGGAACAGCACTTTCTAAAAGTGAAAAGAGGAACAGCATTAGTCTTGAGAAGATCAGATCTAACCGGGTCACGTTAAGGGACATGCCTTAACCACGTATTTTTAGGTAACTACTGTCAGAGTAAATTCACCCAATTGGAAACAGCTTTGAAAATAAGAATTTCCTCAAAGCTATCATATTAAATACAAATTCTCTTTCCTTAAATATAAATATATATTCATGTACACACACTTTCACAACAATTACAAAATAACCAAGCTTCAGGCAGACTTCTTGGTTTTACTTAATTGCATCAACCACCACACATGTATCTATAAAGCATTCTTCTTTATTTAAGTTAAACAATTTTTCAAGGATGGTTTCCATCTATAAAATGAACAAAGTACAAGCTCTGTACAGCAGACTTTTCAAACCAACTGAAAAAACAGTTTCCAAACTAAGTTTTGAAAATCTGCAAAACAAACAACATCACCATTCTTGCTCTGAAGATGGTAAGAAAAGTTCTCAGAAGACTCCATCACCATTTGCTTCAAGGGCTTTTAATTTATCTTTCACATGGGCCAATTTCCTAAATATTTGTATATCACAGTAATTAACTTTGGCACACTGTCATGTAAACATAACAAAAGGATAACACTTGTCTGTTCTCTCAAAGAAAAGTAATGCTGTCTTTAACATACATCTCCTGTACTAAAGCCCCTATGCACAGCATCCACGGGGCATTAGTGAAAATATTCCTACTTTATATGATACCAGTTGACATTAAAGTCTTAAGAGGTGGAATACGATTTTTTTTTTTTCTATCTCAGAGTTAAGAGGCCAATGTTCAGAGCTGCAACTTTTGATCTCAGTTGAGCACTATGTTTACTATGATCCAAGTTGCAAGTGGAAGTAACCACATAGAAGCTGAGTGCTTTCTCCTTCTATATTCTGTTTTCCAAAACCTCAAGAACTGGTTTGCTGCTGAGCCCACATTTCAGCATTTATTCTCCAGAATATTCAGAAATCTACTGCTATGTTATGAACCATGTTCTTCAAGTTCTCAGCAAGGTTAAAAGGCTACAAATAGGGAGAGACAAAAAGATGGAAACTAGTTTACCCACTGCATGGCCATGGAAAATAGACTGTGAAGAAAAAAAAAAAAAAAAAAAAAAAAAGCATTAATTAACCACATATGAAAAAAAAAGTCAGATGGATGGGAGAAGTTGGATTCAATGTCTACATCCAAAAGGTATGCAGATACTTGCAGGTCATAGCTCCAGAGACACAAGATATTTGTGGCACACTGACTGACATAATTAGAGCCATTGACCAGAGGAGTACCACCTCTATACCTAGCATATAGATGCAGCCAAAGGAAACACGAGAATCAGGAACTACTCTACTTCCAGAAACAAAGAAAGAGGGGAGTGTACTGGAGTTACACAGTACAGCAGATGCTTTTCATCTCCTTATGATCAACTCTTACGCTTTTCCCCAAGATCCTTATCTTACCAAAACCACTTCCTGGCATCGCAGGCCTGCACTATTTCTTTTCTTTTTTTCTTTCTTTCTTTCTTTTTTTTTTTTTTCCTCCTCCCACCAATGCTGTGTCACTTATCAGTGCTGAAACTACTTACTCACTTTTCATTTTAGAAGCTCATTCAAGCATTTAATTATTTATTTGTTTTAATAAAAAAGTACATAGTCTATGCAAACATAAGAAAGTACAGGTCAAAGTTGATTTAACTTTGACAGTATTATTTTAATATAAAAATGACATCAGCTGAGTTGTCGCTGTAAAACACACAGGCTCAATGGTGAAAAACACCACATAGGATCTGCTGGTATCCAGACTGATTCCCAGAGCCAAACCTGAATCCACCCAAAAGCCCCATATAATGAAACAAACAAACAAACAAAAAAAAACAAACAAGAAAGTTACCCAGTAGCAGGCCTATAAATTAAGTAAGTGCAATTCAGAGATATTACCTAACTGCTCATCCTTGCAAATTAAAATTCAGACCTCATGCTGCCAACAGTGACGTTCCCTTCCACCTTATTCTCAGAACTCAAGAGGGGAGTTTGAGACAAGGAAATTTTTGTTATGATGAGGGCCCAGAATAAAATTGTGCTGAACCCACATGGCTGCATCTGTGCAAGATTTGCACCACTCGTACAATTTTGTAATGAAGAGAAGTATTTCAGGACATAATATTACAGAAATCATCAACACAAATATCAAGTACAAGATTAACGATATCCAGAGCACGTGTAATGAATTCCCAAGCTGGAATAAACAATCCGAGCAATCATCTGTGCAGATGCATTGGCTTATTCTGCTGTTTTCTTTCTCCTCCTGAGTTTCATGATCTCCAGTGAGGGAGAAGCTTCAAAACGTAGATCCAGTTTGCAAAGCAAAGCATCCAGTGTTAGCACGGACATCATACTCAGCAGCACAAAATCTGCACCTTCGTTAACATCCACTCTTCTAGCATTTTGATCCAATTTCTGGTTATACATACGCCAATGACTTTGTTGATAATTATAGGGTGATGAAAATCGATATAAATCATTGGGAGCTGGCAATATATATATTTTATATATTTATATTTAGAGTCCATCATAGAAAAGTTCATATTCAAATTACCAAGTACACACAAGAAAAAAAAAAACGTTCAAAATGACACTTCTGTTTTTGGAAACAACAAACAAACAATGCATTTCTATGTAAATGGAGATTTCAAATGACCTTCTCCTGGTAATTTTTCCCACCCTCCCTCCCAGACCCTGTTCCCCACAGGCGTTTTTCAAGATCCTTTTTCTATCATACATCAGTTGTTCCTAGAGTTAGTTATCTGCTGTGCAAGTATGTAACTGAAGACAGAAAGGAACTGTTAAAGTCTTCACACCAAGAAGGAGCCGTGCTGAGGCCACGTTCAGTGAAATCTTTGCAGTGCTCCGAGTCCACCTGTTCCCTGGTGTCCGCTTCAGCACTCTCCTACTTTCAGATAAAGATGGAATACTGAGGTATATAAGTTCCGTGGAAAGTTTTAAGAAATACATCAGTAATTCAATCAAAACTTTGCCCGATGTCTATGAGTTGAAACAGCATTTTGCTTGTAAGTTCTACTGCTGCAGATTAAGTGTGAATTTCCACTGTTGTGATAAAGAAGGACTGCAGATCTCAACAGTGAGACCACCATTTTTGGCATTTCGGCTGTCTAGACAGAGGTTGCTGCCAACGTGCCTCAGTTTAGAGTTGCTTTCAATTTGCTCCCATTTCTGAAAGAGAAAATAAAGTTAAGCTGTAAAAATCAGGAAAAAAATGCATTCTATATCCCATCAACTGAAATCATCATGTGCTTTCCTGGCTTGTGCTTAGGAGAGATGTGAATACTGCAATAATGCAGTTTAGACAATCCTTGATTAAGGGTATGTACATTATAGAAAGCCTTGTCAAAGCAACTGTTCTTTCAGCTAGTGCACTGCACAAGATACAGAATACACCAAATCATTTTCTTCTACTTCAGCATTTCTCAAAATATGCTGTCATACCATATTTGACTTTCCAAAGCCTTTAGTTTGAGGAAGAAAGTAAGTCACAAAACCCATCCATAGTATCACTACTACTACTACAGTTCAGAACATAAAGAAGAAGTACAATCACCAAAGACAAGCCTGCAGAAATCTAGAAATCAGTCAGATGTCTTTCAGTTATAAAGATGTCAACTGGTTAGTCTGTGCTGTCGGAAGCACTACTGCCCAAGGTGATGCCAAGGACAGAGCAAATACAAACTGTAAGATGTTAAAAGATTCTCTGTTGTATTTTCTTTGAATTTTTGCCTTCAAGCCTTATCAAGAAAATATTGCCTCCTTGGTTTCTTTATCTGAAAAGTGGCAAGAGTATTTTTTTCTTCTTCAAGACATCATTTCTGTTTGCAAATATTGAAATACAGAAACAAAGAAGGTAACAGAAAATCAGATCTGATGACTTAGCAGAACTGTTACATGACAACTGACAACAACAAAAAGGCGATACGAGTCTGCAAATGTAATTTTCCTAAGGCATGGGAAATAGATGAAGTAGCACTGCTGCATTAATAAGGAGACTATCTAGCAACAGAGTCTAGCACTGTTATAAACAGGTCACAGCTGAAAGAGGAAAGGAAAGCTAACCCCACCCTCCTGAGACAGATTACGTTATCTTCAAACTTCACTGAAGGCCTTTCAAATATACATCATGAAACACATATTTTATTTCAGAAAATGGACGGGACAGTTGAAGACTGTCACACAACAGAGCTGCTGTGTGAAACCTTTATATAAGGCCAATTTTGAGATAACAGCTCTATACGTTATCATAAGATTGTCACTGGTTTATAAAAAGGAAAGATCAATATACAAAATTATTCCTGCTGCTCTGCAGGGTGTCATGTATCCAAATTTTATGTGTGCAAAGAATGATGCAGAGAAAGAGTAGAATCCTTAGAATAGAATACAGACACAAATGCGTGTTCTTGCACTCTCATTCACAACCCTTGTTTTCCCACTATTCAGGGAGTATACTCAGGACATACTGACCTGTCTACTGTCATTTTCCCTGCAGCCCTGAAGTTTTATTAGTGAACCAGGTGCTCTGTCCACAACAGTAAGGCACAAATCCATGTGTTTCACTGACTTGTCCTTTGTTAAGGCCCATTCCTAGAAAAAGAAAGTAAAATTTATGAACGGTATGCAAAATCATTTATACTAAGTTATACACAAGGTGCACCTGCTATCTCTGCATCCATAGCACAGGTTAAACTCCTGTCAATGGCTCAGTAAGAGCATTAGAACAATTTATTATTGTCCACAGAGAAGGAGATGAGAAAAACTGTACTTTTGAAACACAGTACTTTCATTTACTCCAATGGTCTCAAATCTACGCTGGGCTGGGCTAGTTGACTAACTGCTCCCTCTACTGGCTTCACGGAGGTACAACAGGAAGTCACAGGTTCTCAAGTAGGGTCAACTTCTAAAGCAAGTATCTAACTAGCTACATTTTCTATGTATCTAGCAATAGCTGTATAGATTTTATATAGCTTTCGCATTAAATATATGAAAAAACCAAGCTTGGTCTGCAGTATCACTGGTCACCCTATCCACACACTAGGTAACGCACATGTGTTGTGAGGGAAAACAGTTCCTAATGGTAGAGCTCACCAGAAAGCAGAACACAAGGCAGCCAAGGTCAGAGGTAATGGGAGAATGAGACTTCGGACCCAAAGTGCGACGTACAAGAGAATTTCCTTTAAATGCATATTGGCAAGCAGTTTCTTAAATGATGGGCAAAGAAAAGTTGTTCTGTATGCACCAATGCCCAGCTGGTTTTACCTCAGTGTCCTCCTACACAGGACCTGATCTTGCCCTGATGTTCACACACTGCATGTGTGAGAGATTCACCCTGAAGTCTGATCTCCAGGACCCAGATTGGTCTCCCTGTCTCATTATCCTTTGAGGAAGGAACTTGATCTCCTGACTTGCTGGAGCCACACTAACTGTCTAATTCTCCCTCATTGCTACTTAAAAAGGAAAAATCAACTTCACTCCAGTGAGTTCAGAGGGTTGTGTAACACAAAAACCTAGATATACTCTAGCTCATGTCTGGCTATATTTAGTGTTATTTTGTAAGCAGTGAGTGTTTCAGAAAGAAATTAGATGCCTAGTCCCATCCCATTTTTCAACTTACTTTCTAATACTGTAACTGATGTTCAGCTTGCATGACCACTTAAACCCAGTAGATTTAACAATGATTAAATTCCTTTGAGAACAGATGCTCAGGAAACAACCAGAACTTCTCTCCAGTGTTATTACCAGTAATGGCCATCATACAGGAAGCAAGCCCAGCAACACATCATTAGATGGACACCATATTATGCAACCACAACTGACTATGCAGAACAAAAAGGAAGGAGAACTTTGCATGTCTCTTTTCTTGGCTCCCAAAACACAAAGCTAAAAGCTTTTCCTTTCGCTCTCAATACATCTTTTTTTTTTTTTTTTTCACTACATTCAGACTGGATACTAGGAAGAGGTTCTGCACCAGAAGGCAGTGGGCATGGAACAGGCTGCCCAGGGCACTGGACATGGCTCCAAGCGCTGGCGTTCAAGGAGCAATTGGACACCACTCTCAGATACAGGATTTGGATTTGGGGTGGTGCTGTGTGGAGCCAGAAACTAGGCTCCAGGGTCCCAGAGGGCCCCTTTCAACTCAGGATATCCTATTCTGTTTTAATCTCAGATGCCTTCTTGTTCCAACCATTTTGTCCAAGGCTAAGTAGCATCATTGATAGCCGCTTTCAACAACTTAAGGAAGTAAGCAAGTATTTTTAGAGCTCATCAGCAAACACAAGTGCCAATGAAACAGATGATTTATACTCAGTAATGACATTAGAAAATACTGTCAGTGTAGTGGTTAAAATTCAGGTTCAAGAATCCTGCAGCAAAAGGAAGTTAAAGCCTTGAAGATACTGATTTTTACATCTTTACCCTTCCATCAGGAGACCAGAAGAGGCCCAGACAAACCAGCAACCACACAGGAACTTAGCTTATCTAAAAGCAAAAGCTACAGCTTCACAAATGTCTCCAAGTTCTGCAGCTGGAGGCATCAATGTGATGGCCCTTCATAGTGTAAAACAGAACGTACAGATGCTCCCTCCTAGCGATCAGGATCTGCGATTTGCTATAGTGCTGAAGTTTAAGCAAGTAGCACTACAGAAGAACAGGAAAAAAATGCAAATAGTGCATGTAATGTGCTATGGATGCAGGCTGGAAATAGGTCACGTGCGTGACAACTGGAAAACCAGGACATCTAAAAAAAACCTGTCTCATAAATCAGAAATAGAACACTACTAACCTTGAACTTTCCCCTTACACATGAGTGCATTTGGCTTTGTCTTAAGCTCCTTATTATGACCCTAAAGATTCGCACAGACTTGTCAAAACAATATATCAGAATTTTTTCACCCATTTTGAAGTGTAATTCTACCTTTTGGACCACTGAATTCTAACAGTCTGCTTCAGGAAAACAAATCCATTTAAACTGAAGTTTTGCTTTTTAAGCTGTGTAAGCATAAGCCAGAGTACACTCTCCATATGGTAGAACAAGGTTTCTGCAGCCTGCAGTAGTTGAGTACTCACAGTCTAACCCTCCACGCCCAACCCTAAACCCTATTCTCAGTAAGAATAGTTGCAAAACACATAGGACAAAGTTGAAGATTCTGCTTTGCTCCCCCAGCCTTCTCCCATGCTAAGATCACTCCCATTCATTCCTTGAATCCAATATGGAACTCAGTGTGGATGTAAAAAGCCACTGTTGACCAGCTCCGTCTCCTAACATGTCTGAAATTCCATCACAGAGAGAACATACATTTGTTTTTCAAGGTCAACTTCACAGATGAAAGTACACTGAAAATTGAAAAGAGGGATCAGATTTGGAAGAGGGAAGGACTGAAAGAAGCATGTACGTATCTATAGAGAACATACAGGATAACCAGAAACTATCAAAACTTCTGCACAGAGGCAATTCTTTGACACAGTTATCCCTTCTCAAAAAAAAACAAAACAAAACAAAACAACAAAACAAAACAAAAACCCCTGTGCTATTCTGAAGATGGTGTGCATTTTCATAAAGATAACAGAAAACGCCTCCCCAAGTATATTCCCTTTAATGATATGGAAGACACATCTCAGATCTACAATAGCAATTCAAATCAACATTATACACTGCCTGAAATAACTTCTGTTAGGCTTTATCTGATTATAGGGTTTTCCTCTTCTAATTTAAATCAGAGCACAAAATTCTGATACAATCACTCTTTCAATAGTAGATCTGCAATTGGTCAGGCTTCTGATCTAACACATGCATTTGATTATTAGTTTTAAATTTATTTGAATTTATAATCACATTGGTTCTGAAAAGTTTAGTGACCACACAAAATAGTGAGTACATAAGCACATACTTTGTTAATAATGATGAAGTCATGACTGCATAATTAGATTCTTTACAATAATGTTCCCATCTACAGATGTGACACATTTGCAAGTAAAAATAGGCTCAGATAAATTTTGTTGAAACACTCCCTTTACTGGTTGAAAATAGGAGATGAAGTTTAGATGCCTCTCTTTTCTGGAAGAGGTGAACAGGGATCTGAGACAGATTTTTTACATGCCACTACTACAAACTGGAAATTACTAATACAGCATTATAGTAAAGCACTCTTCTGATTCTGCTGACCTTAGGCCATATGCTTAACAATCCATATTTTTTCTTAAGAAAACTTCCTTCAAAAATCAAACATACCAATTAATGGATTAAAGCTTTTTATGAAAGCCTAAAACTCCTGGGAAAGATTCCTGGCCTCCAGCATAAAAATAAATATTGATAGACAAAAAGGAAGGGAAAAACCTGACCGTATTGAATGAACCTCTCTGCTCAGATTCTAACCCTGAAAGTGCAAAACTACATTTGAGGGAGAACTTCTTACAACAGACTGCCTAAATAACTGGTTTGTTCATTTCAGTTCGTATACCTATCACTGACACACAGTACATGGTTGAGTTAGTTTCAATTTATTTTTAAATCCTAAGACCACATATTTTGGAAAAAAAATGAATAGCATACAGACCTGGTTTCCTCCGGCATTATGACATTCGTAAACTCCAACAACACCATCCGCAAAATGGCCCAAAGTATCAAGGCAATTGGTACCCTGCTGCAAAGCCCCAAAAGCTATATCTTGATGATCAGGTACCCTAAAATAAAACCAGAAATATCTCCCTCAATTAGTCTATCTTTGATATTTCTTTTACCTCCTCATCAAGTATTTTGAAGATGAGAGGTTTAAGATGAGTGATGACTACTGTTTGGAAATTCCAAACATCTTTTGAAGACAGAAGCCAAATTTCTGACCAAACTCAAACCTGCAAGCATAGGACAAAAATAGAAAACAAGGATGAACATACAAACTCCTCATAATGACCAAATTAAAGGTGACATCATTATCATTTAACGTCGCTCATATCTTCACGCTATCAGTTCAGATTCACCACACTTATTTCCAGACAAGCCATCAGAAACATTCTACTTTTGTCCCAAATTGATCTTTACTGAAGTGTTATAAGTTGGGGTTGAAGGGAAAAAAAAAAAGAAAAAAAAAAGTGTTTTATTCATACTTATTTTTAAGCAGTCGCATATAAAGTAGAATTCATATAGTCTGGAAGTACATAGGCAAACACATTCAGAGCACCCTTGTGGGGCATAGAGACCATAAGTTCATATTAAACAGAAAAGCAAGGACATACAAACTCCTTTAAAAACTTCAGACTATGATAAGAATACAATAATTCAACTCAGCAAAGTGAGCACAAGGGAGGTGACACAGAATAAGATAACATTACACACCAGTAATGCTTATTGTAGCACATTTTCCAAGAAAAATTGCAAGCCATATTTCTTCTGACAAATTAAACACAAATAAATATCCTCCGGCACTGTAAGAGAAATACAGAATAACTTTCCTCCTCAGCATTATCCTGGTTCATGAGACTCTTTAACATGTGTGGCTTCGTAAAATACACGAAGGCTGTAACAGTTTATGCTCATGCATTCCAAGCCTGTATTCTAGTAGTAACAATCCAACTTCACTGACACAAAGTGTCCTCAGCAATAAACATTCCTACGAACCACACATACAGTATCCTGTGCAACCAACAGTATGTTGACAGAAGACACAGTAGTTTACAGTCTAATACCAAAGCAGCAGCGTTGGAACTGGATAATCTTTAGTGTCCCTTCTAACTCAAGACGCTGTGATTTTGTGACCCAGTAGACATACTTATCAGTAGACACATTACTGAACAAAAATCTTTTCGTTCAAGAAGTGCTAAAGATTTTTTTTTGAGGATTTTTCATTGGTTAGTATGCATTCTACAGCAGAAATTATTCCTTTGTATCATGTATTATATTAATGCTGTAAGCACTGATTCATTTTGCAAAAAGTATTAGTTATGTTACCCATAATTTCAGTTTGCTTTTTCCTCTACACATGCATAAAGGTTAGCTATTGGCCACTGACAGAGCAAGAGATAATAAAACATGTGACTTAGCTTCTTAGAGCAGTGCATTTACCAATGCTTAAAAAACTTGCATGACTTTCTTATCTGCTAGCTTCTGTTATTTCTGCTGTATTGAGATTCAGCTTTCTCACTCAGCTAATCATGTGCTTAAGTGAAGGCAAAACTTTAAAAGGGAAGACAACAGGAGAGAGAACAATGTACCCTCAAGCAAAAAGCCCATGTAGGAGACAGGCTACAGAGGAGTTTAGGGCTCTGGATGCTGTTCTCTGAAATACTGCAGCTACAGCTGCAATTCTATGTAAGTGGAAAAGAAGATTACTTCGATAAAATGGACTTTTAGGAATAGAACAAACAATACTGAAAGCAAATAAGGCCACAATTACATTTTACTTCCAAGGAAGGGGAAAGAGAAACCAGTGATTTCAGGAGAAGACAAGTCAAAACCCCACATCATCCCAGAGTCAGATGAAACTCACCGTAACTCAGGATAAACATTTTCAAGATACCACTTGAAGGGTTTGCAGCTAAGTCTTTTTCTGAGTTCCATTCGGCTTTGAATACTAGAAAGGGAAAAAGAAGAATGATTTTCAAGGTCTGGATGCTGTGTTTGTATGAATTAATGACTGTATACAAAACCCAAATTTCCTCAGTAGATCTACATCTAAAGGACATAAGTGCCATCACTACTTATACCTCAGAAGCCACTGTTTTTTGAAGGAGGAAAAAGAAGTAATTGTGACTTACTTTCCATAAGGTACATTCCTGGCTGAAGGCACTGCTGCGTAATAGAAATTCTTGTACTCATCCATCCAGACTTCCGCTGCCCTGCGTGTATTTCTAGGGACAATCATATGAAAAAAAGGTCATATTTTCCCCCAACTGCAATTAAACCATGTCATTTATTCTTGATTTGATTTTAATCCTTCTTAGTACTACATCATCAGCTGCCTCAAGCCAGGCAGAAGATTTCCTATTAAAGTCCCAAGTAACAGAAAATCATTAGAAAATCAAAACTGAAATCAATACATTTAGAAAAAATGCCTTTTCCACAATTTGCTGCTTCACATTTTCATCTGGAATTTAATACGCCCTGGAATTCTTTCTGTAATCTTCAGGGAATGTTGTTGGTTTTGTTTGTTTTAATACAATTTGATAGACCAAATTCAGTGAGTCTTCACCTGAATAAGCAAGCTAATTGGAAACACAAAATTTCAACAATTTGAAATATTTAACAGTGTATATTGCCTTGCTGAAAACAGATACGCTAACTTCAGCAACACATTTTCAGTCTGCATCTTACTATTACCAGCATAGCATTCAACATTTCAAGACATAAGCTGTTCTGACAAAGCTATGAAATAAACAAGTCTACTAAAACAGAGGAGGCAGTACTTAGAAAAATTTTTTTAACACTTGAAAATTCAGAGCTTAATTACTGCTGTAAATGTAAAGGAAAAACACTAACCTGGATTATTTACCTCAAATCAAATGGCTAACTAAAATGTCTATATTTTTGTAACAGTGTGTTTACAGCTCCTTTTGGACTGTGAGATTGTAAGGTGTTTTTTTCCCCATCTCCTGGCTTCCATGTAAAACTCATCTACTTCTATTGTTTGTAGTTTCATTGAATTAATTCCCTTGCAACTGTCATGCTCTGAAACTTATTTTACATTTGGCAGTAAGTTCAATCTTAAGCAGCCAGAGTAAATGCAGTCAGCCAACAACTTATTGGTATGATTCTTTCCAAATTAGAAGGCAGAAGTAGCCAGGACAATTTCAGTTCTTGCAAACTGCTAAGAGTAGAGGAGGTGGGGAAAGGGGAAAGAGAGAAAAAACAAAAACAAAAACAAACAACAGCAACAAAAAACAACACAAGGCAGACTTTGATCATTTGTTGTTTGAGGACCAATATTTTCCTTGCAAAGATTCCTTTTTTTTTTTTTTTTGTGTGTGTGTGTGTGTGTGTGTGTGTGTGTGTGTGTGTGCGTGTAAGCAAAAACCCATTCAATCCAGATTAGACTGTTTCAGTTCAAATTCACTTGTAGTCTGTCAGGTTTTAATGACTCAATCACTCAGCCACTCAGCAATCAGGTTGGCTATCTATTCACAGGCAAAATGGATTTTGGTGGTGGGAGAGGTACTAATTAGTTTGCCAGAGTTTAACAACTCAAAAGGCAATTCCAAGGCCAGTATGCATCTCTGTACCACACTTTTACACAACCAAAAATTAAGAATCCAGACACAGTGCAATATGGATATAGAAACCATATAGATGCTGAGAACTGCTCAAATTTGTATGACTCCAAAGCAGTCAGAGTACTGAGAAATACAGTGTAGGGAACACTCAGCACCTAGATTAAACCACAGATAATGAAACTTAGCATCACGCCATCAGAGATAGTTTTGCACATACCAGACTAGGGTCTGTAAGGTTTATTAACTCAGATGAAGTTGTGTATTAAAGCAGCTGGCCCTCAAGCAGTAAAGCATATATATGTGCAAAAGCAAACCTGATCTAATACATTCTGCTAGAAGCAAGAAGCATCTGCCCCCGCACAACAGCCACGATGTCATCCCTTTTCTCCTCTTGTACCACACGACTCCCAGCCTCTCATCCAGGATCAATTTGTTTTGGCTGCCCAAAGGCAGTGCATACTGGCTAGTCAGCTAAAAATAGGAAGCTTACCCAGAGCACTCCAGAACAAATTACATACAGTCAAGGGACAGACGATTGCATAAGCTAATGAGTCCCAACTGCACAAGCACTGATTCCATGCACCAAGTTTTTTTGGCACCATGGCTCCACACATTCGATAACGTCTGCACCATGAGGGTATTCCATTACCTTAGGTTTCACATTCTCTCATTGCTAAAAGTACTTTTTTTTTTTTTAAAGGGAATTTTGTTATATTAGTTTGACACACAAGGCAGCTGACTGAGGAAGAAACAACCTTCAACTAAAAAGCAAGGTTGACAATTTGCTGTAAAGTGATATATAAGTTTTCTAGGTCAATTCAAAAATAATTCCAATGAAACAAAGAACTTTAATGGCATTTCAGAATTTGAGACAGCTAGCTGGACAGTCAAGCATAATGGCAATAAACCACTTGCAGAGAAAGACAGACCTGGACAGGAATGCAAGTGCCCAAGATTAAAGATCACAGGCTTTACTTGTCCTCATAATTCAAGTCCAGGTAGTATTTCTTTTAAAAAGTCATTTCGAACACAAATAACAGAAAAACAAAATGCATCAAAAATAATCTGTCATGGTAGCTGTCATGAAATGTGAGTGATTAAATCACAGCGATGATTTGACTTAATAGCAACAAAATCCAAAAGTTGTCATCCCAATATAAATGCAGAATCTTCAACCACTGTAAATGACACATTTATGATGCATGCTCTGATCTTGCATATGCAAAGCCAGCCCCTTTCTTGCTTTTCAGATGAGTTATGTTTAAGTACCTATCTAATAGCACAAGTGTGCAACAGACATTAGTTAACAGACTAACAATGGAAAAGATCCAGAGAATTAGGAAAACTGCACAGCTTGATTTATTTACTGAGCACGATCCTTGTTATGAAATCATAATTTTATAACCTACTATATATGTTTCTATGATAAAACAGTTCCTTCCTAGGCCTTTGTAATAGTTCAATTGTTAAATCCTTCTACCCTACTGACATACATAAATAGGAGAAGTTCAGGTTGGGTGTTAGGAAAAGGTTCTTTACCAGAGGATGGCTGATCCCTACAGCAGACTCCCCAGGGCTGCGGTCATAGTCCCAAGCCTGCTGGAGTTCAAGAAACATTTGGATGACGCTCAGAAATATGGTTTGAGTTTTGGGTGGTGTTATGTGGAACTGAAAGTTGGACCTCAGTGATCCTTGTGGGTCCCTTCCAGCTTGGGATATTCTAGGATTCTATATCAGTATAGAGATGTAATGTCTGAAGAGAGAGGGTACTTCTTATTAGTTTTTGTTTACCCACAAATACCACAAATACCCACAAAGTCATTTTTACTGTAGCATATAGACCTCAAATAATAGCGTACCAAGAAAATCCCTCCTGTGACTACTGGAAGAAATAAAGACAGTGACTTTATTTTAGCAGACTACTAAATTGATTAGTGTGGTGTTGCTGGCATAACCTATGCAGAAGAAAATTTACACCTCTAAGATGGTTCCTCAAGTTCAGGTGAAACACTATTCCAAATATATTGGCAGCTTGGAACATTCTTACGGACTTGAACACATTTGCACTCTGTGCTGTGGCTCCATATTCTTCAAAGATAAATAAATGAAATTATTTAAATTTGAAGCTCTTAACTCTTAGAACCTTTAGCTCCAACTTTGCTTCTTCAGACCTTGGAGAGCATTAAGTTCTCTGAGCCAAAACGCTTCAAAAGCTGGAACTGACAGAGCCTTAGTCAAAATCCCTGTCATACACCACTCAGTGCCTTAACCCATATAACTTAGAACACTATGAACATGAATCAGGACTTGCTATTCTCATTCTACGGGAAAAAAAAAGATGAAACATCTCCACATTCCAGCAACCGCATACATTAAATCAACAGTAAAATTAACACACATGCTAATCTATGCTCTTACTAATGTAATTTCTTAAGTTTACACAAAAAGCATCTTAATCATGTGATGAGAAAAGAAGATTCAATGAAGAATTAAGCATCCAACAGCCTGGTATAAATGCCAGAATTAGCCTACACGATCACTTGTACATCTCATACTCATTCTGTAATAACAAACAGCAAACAAAGCAAATTCCTAACCTTCTGTATTCTGGGTCATAGAGAACGACAGTATCGTTCCTAAAAAATGAAGATGTATGGGACTGTTCTGAAAATAAAGGTTTCTTCAAAACCAAATAAACAAATTTCTCAAAATTGGCTATTTCCTTTTTTTCCAGATTAATCTCTAATGGAGATATTTTGCCTTAAGCATATTCTCCTCAGTCATCAGCTTCTTCTAATGAAAAGGTCCCTAAAATTAAATTACTGCCACCTGCTGATCATTTGAAGAAATTCAAAACATCACTATTTAGCTGAAGATCATCTTAAGAGTTACCTTGCAAATACAGTACCACTCCCACCAGGAAATGTGTACGGATGTTGCTTGCGGAATACGTGACCCACTCTGCTGCAAGGGATGATTTCTAGGCTCCCACCACATTGCCAAACTCGGAACGAGATCTCTGCAACGAAAACATAAAAGACCAACATCACAAAATACACCACAAAATACTGTAATTTCCTACGGTTGTTTTTAAACAAAGAAAGCGGTAATTGCTGAGAAGATCAATAAGATGGATTTCTGAGAAAATCTAGGATAAAACCAAGGCATATGCTTGTTTATTACTATCCAAACTCAGAAGAAATAACTGTATTAACTTGGAAGCAAAACTGCATGCCTTCTCTCCTCTGAGCAGTATTCTCCAAACTCAGAAATGATGCTGAAATTTGCCAGAATAAGTTAGGTTTATGTGTTCTATTGCTGTGCTTTATCTAAATGGTAAATAACAGTAGATTCATTTAGCATAAATTAATTATCTAATCTATAATTTTAAAAATCAGCTAAAGATTAAATAGAATGTCAAGCAAATTCAGTGCACAATAAAACAACAGATTCGAGCTGCTGGCTCAAAGTACTGGCAGTAAAAGGAGTTATGCCAAGCCAATCTTGATTTGAAGATAGAGTAGCAACTTATATAAACCAAAGGCTATGGTCACTACTTTTGTAAATCAAGCAAGCAAACTAACTATGGTAGTAAAGACAAGGTCTAGATATATATTGCGTATTTCTCATCTTAGACCTCTAACAGCAGAAATCACCTAGTACTGACAGAGAACTTGTCTTCATTCATTTGAAGCAAGCACAAGGGTGCTTGCAATAGCAGTATTTCAACTTTGATATTTTTCCCCCTTTTAGTCTAGTAGCTGCAGCAGGTTACCATCTCCTACCCTTAGTCTATTCATCATCATTCAGTATCTTCCCACAGATTTAAAAAAAAAAACCAACACAAATAGTAAGCAAAGTCACATTCCTCTTTTAAAACTAAGTGCTATTCTTCCTCCAGAAGCCCTCCTCTCACACATATAAATCAAAAGTTTTATTTCAAATAAACTTCCTCATTTCAAAACCAAAAGTAGGAAAACCTGAAGGTTAGCAATGTCCTCTCAATTATAGAATCCTTAGAGTTGGAAGGGACTTCTAAAGGCCATCCAGTCCAACTCCCCTGCAATGAACAGGGACATGCACAGCTAGATCAGGTTGCCTAAGGCCTGATCCAGCCTTGTCTTGAAAGTCTCCAGGGACAGGGCATCCACCACATCTTTAGGCAACCTGTTCCAGTGCCTCACTGTAAAAGACTTTTTCTGTATACCCAACCAAAATTTGCCCTCCTTAAGCTTGAAACCATTTCCTCTTGTTCTGTCACCACGGACCCTTCTTTCCTGTAGCTCCCTTCTGACTGGTTTGACCAGGGGAAAAATAAGTGCTGTCATTTCAAACTAAGGCAATGCAAGTTAACTGCTTTTCGTCTGAATCTTTGCTTTTTACAAGAATTCTTTCTAATTTTACCTCAGAAAATGTTTCTGTTCAATCAAGGCCAGTTAGTCATATTCATGAAGACTAGATAATCAACACAGTCCAATCTGCAGACAGTCAGTCTTCCAAAAAAATATTAATGACAAAAACATTATCTCTGGCAGTAACTTATGGCCTTGATTTTATAGTTAAATTAACATGGGAGGATAGGCAAATGACTTTAAGAAGCAACTGAATATGGCATTCTCACCACACATTTTTCACAGCACTGACTTTATTCTTATCTCTTATTTTATGCTAAGAAAAGCAAAAATTGGGAATTACAATAAATGACTGTTCAGTGTTTCTATTAAGCTAGCAAAAAAAGTGCTTTTCTGTAGTGCTTTTATTAAAATGATGAATTTTGAATACTTCATCCAAAACATCAATACTATGTTCATTAATGATCCGGATGATGGGGTAGAATGCATCCTCAAATGTGTAGATGACATGAAACTGGAATGAGTGTCTGATTCAGAGAGACTTTGACAGGCTGGAAAGGTATGCTGACAAGAATCTCACGAAGTTGAAGCAGGACAAGTGCAGAGTCCTGTGCCTCGGCAGGAGCAACCCCAAGTACCAGTATGTGCTGGGAGCCACTCAGATGGAAAGCAGCTCTGCAGAAAAGGACATGGGGTTCTGGTATCAAGTTGAATACAAGGCAGGGGCATGCCCTTGCTCCTAGCAAGGCTAATTGGTATCCTGGGTTTCCTTAGGCAAACTATCACCACCAGTTCTATATTCAAGACTGGTTATACTGCATCTGGAATATTGTGAAGAGTTCTGGGCCAGCCAGTAGAAGAGAGACTTGGATGAACCTGCAAAAATCTAATGTAGGGATGAAGGGACTGAAGCACCTCTATTATGAGGAAAGCCTGCAAGAGCTGGCACCATTCAGTTTGGAGAAAAGAAAGCTCACGTGGGTTCTTATCATTGTCTATAAATATCTGAACGGAGCCTGCAAAGAGAATACAGCCATGCTCTTTTCAGAGGCGCTGTGTGCCAAGACAGGAAGCAACAGGCATGAACTGGAACACAAGAGATTCCAGCTAAACTTCAGGAAGAATTTCTTCACCATACGGGTGACTGAGCACTGGAATAGGTTGCCCAGAGAGGTCTACGAGAAATATCCCTCCTTGAATTTCTTCAAACATTGATTGGACATGATTCCCTGCAACAGGTGGCCCTGCTTGAACAGTGTGGGTTGGACCAGATCACCTCCAGAAGCCCCTATCAAACTCAAACATTCTGCTATTCCGTGATCTACTGAACGTACATAAGTGCTGAAAAACTATTCCAGAAGTAATTTAGAAATATCTTGCATACCAACTTCTTCTATTATTCATAGCTTCCTCTACTCTGTACACTAAGTTAATGCTTTGTTATTTGATTAGTTCTCCCTTCACAAATGCCCAGGCCTGTACACCTACACATATACTTTCAGACACCTTAGGCTCTGAAGAATATCAAAAAGATGAAAAATAGCTGCGGGAAGTACAGCAAAAGGGCCTGCAAATTGGGAGGGGTAGACTAATACTTACATCACCGTGGCTTCTAAAGTCTGCATGAATTTTAAGTTAAAAGGAACATAAAGCAATTAAAATGTAAGGTGTTAGGCTTTTCTTGTTTTGTTCTTAGGATGCTATTTTTCATCATACTCATTGGGAAAATGAATTCTACTATTTTAACAGTTTCAGAAGACACAATTTTTTTTTTTTTTTTTAAAGGCGCAATTAGGTTGGATGTCAGGGGGAAGTTCTTTACAGAGAGAGTGGTGAGGTGCTGGAACAGGCTGCCCAGAGAGGTTGTGGATGCCCCGTCCTTGGAGGTGTTCAAGGCCAGACTGGATGCGGCCCTGGGCAGCCTGGTTTAGCATTAAACGTGGAGGTTGGTGGCCCTGCATGTGGCAGGGGGGTTGGAGATTCGTGATCCTTGAGGTCCCTTCCAACCCTGGCCATTCTGTGATTCTGTGATAAGATTACCTTCAATACTGCTCTTGCAGCATATTACCAATTTAGAAGGTGAAGTCTTACTTGCTTTCTGATTTCAGCAAAACTAGAAAGAAAAAGCTAGGTTTTCAAATTTAATCCAAACCTTTCAATGATCTATCCATTTCTTTAGTATACTTGATCTCCCTATGCTTATCAAAAAAGCACTGCAAAAGCTCTCAGGATTAGAGTCTATGAATTCGAGAAGACTGGACAAACCTTGATCCACGTTTTATACAGCAAACGTGTTATCAGTCATATCTGGCAACAGTGTGAAAATACACCATATCTTCACAGCAAGAACAGTCATTTAGCTAATATAGGATTTAGACTAGGCAAAATACTGTAAGCTCATACACCTATTATATGAGTATAGTTGAACCTATACTACTGTGAAGAAAATCTCACATCTGCCCTGTACACACTTGCAAGAAAATGCAAATTTAAATGAAGTATAAATATGTTTAGAAGTATTTTACGACTCCATCTAGCAGATTATTTGCACGTAACATCAACTGACTGAGAGGTACGCCTGAGAATAAAGAGGCTGTACAAATATGCATATTGAACTGCACATCACAGATTTCCACTATCTGGTGCATGTCATCTATTGGTAATTAAATCAAAGGCCATGCAATTTTTATTCATTTTCAGTTAACCTGGTAGCTATGAACAAATAATTAGCTGTCTGCTCTGATAGGCCTTGCATTTTCAGGGAGCAGAGAAGATGCACCCCAAAGGCTCCATCTCCCCTCCCTCCTACTGCGGAGAAGAGAAAACTGAAAGCAAAAGAAACAAAGATTTTTGCATGCCAACTTTTCACCTTGAGAAATGAGCTGTTGCTTGTGCCCTTTATTACTACAAAATCCTCAATTATCAAAGCATACGAGCAGTTGCTAAGTTTTCAGAAAAAAAAAATCTGAGTGACTCAAGTGCATGCTTACAGCTAATCAGATATTTAAGTGCTCCAGTGTCAGAAGAGGTTCTCAGAGGATAAAAGCATTGCTGTAGTAAGTTTATTCAGTGACTTTCCAGAACATTTTAAAAAATGAAAAACAACGATGATGTTCAAATTAATACAGTTTAGCCACATGCAGCCAAATAGTGAGGAGAATAAAATCTAACAGAGAAAGTAATTGTTCATAATACGTAAGAGTGAGCACTGTACAGAAAAGTCAGAGGAGATGGTAAGGATGTTTTTTCCAGCTTACGTAAGTTCCAGCTTATTCCAGTTCCTTATGTGAGTGTTAAGCAAGTGGTTATAGTGTCTCAGTATTTAGAGGTGTACAGGATAAAACAGACATTTTCTTGTAGGCCACATACGCCTCATGCAGGTATTTCAGTAGCTGAAAACACTCATGAGTTTTTACAAGTTCAAGGTATTTCAGTTTCACAGCTAGAACAGCAGTAGAGGCATTTTAATCCTCAGAATTGGTCCTAAACACACTATTTAGAATGTCTGAGATGACCCCTACCTTGAAAAACTAAATTAATGATACCTGTAACTCATAAGCAATTAGAGTTCTGCTCCACTCAAACATTTCTTTAACTATAAATGCACTTGTCTTAGCTGAGCGAAAATACTGTAAAGCAGAGAGCCAAATGCCAAATCTAACCACAAGGTGAAAATAATGGCTAAAGTGCAAGTTCTTGGTCCCTCCTCCTTCCTCCTCAAATCCCATTCAAACATCTGAAAATAAGGAATTCCAATAAAAATGCCTTCCCAAGCATAATTATCTTGTTGAGCTAAAATAGGGGTATAAAATAAAAAACCTAAGTTTAAAAGCCTAAGTTTAAAAGATCAATGATAAAAAGATCATTTTTTGGTCAGCTGTTTTGATCAATTGCTTAAAGTGTGTGTAAGAACATTAAACTCATGAACTCTCGTGCTCTGATTTTTGTCATTGAATTTCACCAACATTTTAAAACTTGCCTTAAATTGTCAGCATTTAAACACCGTACTTTAATCAATAACATTATAGGGGGATATGGCTTTCAAACAAGGTATCATTTTTGAAAAGAACTTCCTATCTGCATCCTTAGTTCATTTCATTTTACCTGCCAACTTATTTAACTGCACAGTAAGCAAATAGTTCTGCTTTCTCATACATAGTATAAAATTGCTACCATGTTTTAATTCTTACACTGAAACCTTCTGGATTTTCCCAATAATGCACCTGAAGTTTTGATTGCTCTCTAATCTTCTTTGCATGAAACCATGAAGATCATGAAACCATGACAGTAAAAGCAAAGCTGAAACTTGCTTTTCTGTGAAAACTGATCTGAAAGTACATTATGCACTTACCTAAGTTTTCTCCACCCCAAACATCCATCATCATGTCATACTTCCCCAGTTCTTCAAAATAGGATTTGTCCATCACAAATAACCCACCAGCTATCATGGGTGTCCTAAACAGACAAGAAAAATTAAATTAAATACTTACAGAACCATGAACTGGGAGGTAATTGATTTGCATCTCAAGGTTAATATCTCCTTGAAAAAAGCTGCAATGTTTTCGAAGGCAACTAAGTTTACATCCATCATGTCAAAGCTTGTCTGCACAACATCATGCAACATTTCTATGGCATGTACAGCATTATAACTACCACTGCCTCAGAAGCTGAATTTCCAAAACTCCCCTTGGTTCCCAAGTCCCTTATTTAAAAACTGGGAACTTGTGCCAGCAGTAAAACATTAAAGTTTTGTTGCTGTATTTTTAGCTGTCAAAACATATAAAACATCAAATTTTAAAATAAACATGACTTTTTTTTTTCTTTAAGGTTAAATAATCTACAGGGGAACTGTTGGGTGGGGGTTTTTTTGCTTTCTTTTTTGTATGCTTTTTTTAAACACTATTTGTGAGAGCATCACAAGGATGCACAAACATGAATGAAGTTACCATATTCTTGAAAGCTAGCTAAGGTTCATTTCTAGACTGATAAAACAAGTTTTAGCTCTGTTTAGTCACAAGCTACTTGGCCTGGATCCATTTCTGTTTTAAATATGTCAAGTCTAACTGTAAATATACAGTTGCTACACTTCAATGCATGTCATTTACAGTAAAATATAAAATGCTACAGATAGGAAAAAAAAACCTAAATGAAATTCCCTTAAGCAAAAACAGAAAGGATACAAATTCTGTACTACTTTGCTTATTATAAACTATAATCTTGAAAAACGGGGACTGTCTGCACTAATTGTCTCCATTTGAATTGAATTTTCCCAACTGGTAATATCACTTTTCGTTTCTGAGATGGTGACATGCACAAAAGTAAGTCTCATACTCCTGAGTTAAAAAACAGAACAGTATTCGTGGTAAACTTTGCTTCAAGCTATGCTCTCATCATGTCCTACAGCAATATTACACTCTGCCTGTTTTAGTATGCATTTAAATCAGATAAACCAACCGATGCTAATCTATTTGTACTGAAGATCTCTGATGGGAACAGATTCCCATGAAGATGAATCAATACATTTTTTTAATTAAAAAAAAGCATTATCTATCAAATGGAGAATCAGTGATATAGACATACTTTATGGGAGCAACTGGGTTTCCTTGCCGTGCTCTTCTTTGCTCTGGTGTCATGTAATCCCATTTGAATACCAGGTTCCAGTCAAAGCCTTTAAGAAGAAAACAGAGTAGGATGTTAAGACTGTGGTCATTATTCATGTTGTAGTAATGTAATATCAAACAAAATCACTGGGAAGGAAATTTACACTTGCACAATCTTCGTGGTAGAAAACAAACGAGGAGGAGCTCGAAAGAAAAGAAGTTGAACAGGAGAATAAAAAAGTAATCTAAATAATATTGATTTTTCTTGTTGACATTTATTACACAAGGTAAGAAACCCAGTAGTAGATGAGAAAGCATAAGTCACAAATACATGAAATAATGGATTCGTGTGTAAGTCACACTGAACATCATGCAAAGATCTTCATCCCTTTACAATTGCCCTTAACAGTTCTTATTGTACTGTTGCATCTCAGCTGTTATGATCATGCTTAGGCTTACAGAAACTTTATACAGCACTCACTGCTCTTCTCTATCAGCATTGGTTCTCTATCACAAAGGTTACAGCAGGTTATGTAGCTCTCACTTCTCATTAACATCCATACAACTGCATCCTTTCCTACTGCATGCTTCTACATGCATCATTTTTGAAATTCAGATCAGTGCTATAGAGACAAAAAGCTTAATCATCTTCTGCACACATATATATGTGTGACTGCATGCACACAAGAGATTGGTTCTTTTGTGAGCTAAGTACAGAAGCACAAAGATCACCAGAAAAGGGAAGGCCGAAGTCACAGCAGCTTTCTACCTGACATTTTGAACAGCCTTCCTTTAGCCACCAATACAAAAAAAAAGCCAACACAGCAGGTGCAAGATAAACTTCCTACGGAAACACTAACTGGTTTTGAGCTACGTTATGCCTTTAGGTATGAACCTCTATGGAAAAAGCTCCATGAGCTGTACAGCGATCTCCCAGTGTACCTAGCAAACCAGCCTTACAAAGACTGTGGACTGCCAAAAGCATTTAGATCCTATGAGGTCATGTAATAAATGATTTCCAGATTTCTGTTGCGCAGATGTCAATAGTTTTCTTTCTTCAGTATGAAGATAAAGCAATTATTTTCTGGGGAAAGTAGGAAAAAAATTTAAGCTAAACAGGCAACAGACTGTCTGGATCTGTAAATGTGCATGGTATGGATTGATGTGGAGAACTAAAATGAAAATTGCTTAGTTTTCAACTCCCAAGATATGTCTATCTCACAGAAGCTACCCTGAACACTTTTTGCAACATGCATGGCAACTCTACAGATTTAAGGTGTAAAACTGTACAGTGTTACACTGTAAAAAATGAAAGATCATCTAAATACTCCTAAAACTCCAAGTTTCAAAGCATTAAAATGGCTACAACTGATAGCAGTGCAAAGCCTCCACGATGAGAATTAAAACTAACTCCAATATTTCCCTGCAGTTAAAAAAAAAAAAAATTCATTGCATCATACATCCCCAGCAAAATTACTTGCATCTGGGAAGAACTGAAAAACTCTACTGTTCCCCAGCACAAGTGGTAGAGATAGAGTTACGTACACCATAGTGAACACAAGGGGTCTCTTTTGGAACACAGCACTGCATTGCAAACTCGAAACAAGTGTATAAATTGTCTACTCATAAAAAAACTGTTCTTCTGTCTCCATTTTCACTGAGGTTGGGAAAAAGCACTCAATGAGATAGTATCAGTAACTTCGTAAAAGGAATATTTTTAAACACAAGTGCATATACAGTATGAAATTCTATCATGTGTAAACTTCATAATAGGCATATCCTAAGTTATTAGAACTCTGTTAACTACAATTTAGTCCAGTAATTAAAATGCTACTCAGGGTGTAAATAGTTTTGTAAGCCTTCTTCCTTCCAAAAAAAAAAAAAAAAAAAAAGTAATATGAAGTGCACGGATTTAATAGTGGCCAGCCATGGGAATTATTTCAGTTCTGTCCACTTCTAAGTCTGTAGCATTTGCTAGATTGCTCGTCTTGGGTGATTAAGTCTTGCAAAACAGAGCAGGCACAAATGCTGTCCCAGCTGTCTCAACTCTCCATGTTTAAGCCACGCAGACACTATATCGAAGGTTGAAAGCACGGTTTGATTTCCATGTTTAGACTTGGCCTCAATGAAAGTGTCCTGTGATGCCAAATGCTGGAGTGCCCCTAACGTGCTAATCTGTCCTTTGGGATCTGAATGCGACTATATTATTCACATTTGAACATACCACCAAATAGCATTCAGACATTGCTATGTGAAAAATTTCTATTGTTAAAAGGCAGCTTCTCACTTCACAGCCCAGAAGTACAGAGGCTCAATGCGCTTTAAAGAACCTATTGTGTATAAGAGAAAACGAGCACTAAAAGGAGAAAAAAAATGGGAAATATAGTTCATAGACAAAGCAATGAAAAGCAGCAACAAGTAGAATGATCGCTCAATCCTCTCCCAGTTCAGTTGGAAAGAATTAAAGAGCATGAACCCCACAGGAACCAATCTAAGGTTTCAATGAAAACTCCTCCTCCCACTGCAGACAACAATAAGAGCTACATAATGGTATAGAGATTTCCATAGTTGCTGCATAATGAATAGATTGGGCAAAAGCCTTAAGGTTTTAATAAAGCTAGCACACAGATAATAGCATAGTATTATAAATTAGCATACTGTGAATATATCCATGGCAGACATCTTTTCAGAACGCTAATTAAAAGGATACAGAAACTTTTACCTCAAGATCATGACTGGAACTTGAAGCACATGCAGCATTATGCAAACATTACTTTAGTTTACTGGAACAAACACTTGGTGCCCAGTTATGGACTAGGATTTCACATACAGAAGGAGCTTAAAACTACTACCTCACTTGAGAGAGCCCATTCAAAATAAGCTGAAAAACTGTGGGAACAGTACCACATAATTTCAATATTGTGGCTTATCTTACATCTGTTCTACAGGCAGCACAGTTTCTAGGGTTGTGGGAACAATTATTGTGGATCAGTTATGGGACAACTATTCTAAACGCTAGACACCTGCTAATAGTGAAACTAAATTTAAAAACTTAACAAATAAGGATTTTACTGCAAACTTGTCTTTCCTCTTTTGGAAAGAAGGGAGAGAATCATTTTTGAGAGTTTCACAAAGCTCTTTACTACTTGCTGTTAACAGTTTGCATTAACCAGACAACAAAACCATAGCTTTTGTAAACAGAATTTAACAGGAAATTTTCTAACAGTAAAGATATGAACACTACAAATTTCAAGGTTATGTGTTACTCTCTTCACAATTACAGATCATGGGTTAAAAAAAAAAAAAAAACACCTTTCCTTTTTAAAAAACAAACACATTCCAGAGGTTTCTGCTTTTTCACAAGAGATCAATTTTTAAGCAAACCAGCATCTTAAAAAAACCTCATAGGCACCGCATTGCTGATGGACTTCTGAACTAGAGAGCAAATAAACTGTCGTCTGTAAAAAGGGAATCATAAGCTCTTCCAACCATAAGCTGCTTCTAACACTTACACAGCACTGCAAACATTCGAGTGACTCCTGTGCATTGGTAAAAAGCAGCATAAACTTATAAGAATTGGTATAATAAAGACAAACTCTTGTAAAGTAGAATGCAACAAGGCCATTTAAAATCTAAGCCTGGAAACAGTCGATATATAGAAATTAAGCTAGATATGCAAAAGGTAAGAGCAGTGTGTTAATTGCCCATTCCACAACTGCAGTGACCACGAGCTTTGACTTGTGATGCTTCTTATTTTATTTGTATTCCAGCAGAGGTACATACCGCCTTTTAAATCAGCTGACGCCCCCACGTACTGGAAGTTGTCCATATTAATTACATCGATAATAGGAGACACAACTCTGGTCTTGTCCTAAAATAAATATTAGAAAGTGATATTGAAATAATGAAACCAATATATAAGGATTCAGACAGGATAAGACGTTGCAGAGTACAGCAGGATTTCATGAATACTGCTCCCCCACCTTTTCCCCTGCTTCTGGTTCTGAGCAGCATTGCTCACCACTGCTTCATTCAGAGAGCAGAAACCACATTACATAGCTAAGAATCCTCTTCATATTCCAGCCTACCTTACACACAGGTAAACCTCTTCTGGCTTATCTGTGAAGAAGGCAGCAAACTTCTATTTCAAAAGACAGACAGGCAAACAGCATTTTCATTCTTACTTTTCAAACCAGTGCAAAGAAGAGAACCATCTGGGTAATTCATATTTTCACAGCAAATTCCTAGCCCATAAGGTAGTGTGATGTTATTACTATAATCTTTAAGGGACATTAAGGCCTTTCCACAATCAGAAAAGTCTTAGGTTAATGATAACCGATTTCACCCCAGAAGAATCACACTTCACAATCAGATAGAAAATGGGGAAAAAAAAAAAAAATCCTCCTAAACTAATGAACGCTATTAATCTCTGGCAGCCAAAATTCCAGTGGCATAGATTCTGCATTCCTCTGTCTGAACTTGGTCTCATATACTATTCTAAGCAACATTAATTACCTTAGCTCATGTGTTTGTCAAAGTAGCTTTTAAGTTAAAAAAAAAAAAATAAAAATCTTTCCAGTAACTCCACACACATCATGCATTGGGATCATAAGACATCTGTAATCTAAGAGAAAATCATCTAATATTAGAAACACAGTGTCATGGTTAAACCAGTTCTTCTCCACGAGGTACCTCTTGAGGCAAAAAAGAAAAAAAAAAAAAAAAGAAAAAAAAAGATATATTTACAAACTAAAGTATAACTTCTATGGTAGTTTGATTAACAGGTAGCTTGCATTCGAAGTAGAACTTTAAACACCACAATTTAGCAACAGAGCATAGGTAACTTCAGAACAGTAAAATACCAACTTTGTGAATACAAAAATGCTTTAAACGAACAGGATATTTTGGTAACTATCTTACAGAGAAACTGTTCTTATGGTTAAAAACAATACTAACCTAATCGTCCCCACTGTAAGAATCTATCTGTAAAGTATTGCTCCAAACAACAATGCATATATTCTAAACAGGTTCAACAGTGCATCCATGGCTACTGCAGTATTATACAGAACAGCTGGTACTAAATTAGCAGGAGAATATAGTGTGAGCTTGTAACAGGAGGCCTGAAAGCAACTCTTTTAGACAAATGATTTTGTTGGTCCAAAAAGGACATTAAAAACACCCATTTTCATTTACTGAATCTTAATTACTCAATCTGTACAGATTTTAGTAAGCCCAAATTAAATAGCTGACATATACTACATCATTCTACATAAGTAAACAAAAGGTCACTTTCCCCCAAATTAGCCAGAAGGAAAATCTGAGTTGTGTCTCCAGCCAAAATCTGAAGACTGAGCTAAAAGCTGACAACTTGTATTGCTTCTACATTCCTTTTAAGTAGAACTTGAGCTATACAACATGAGTCTTTATGAAGGATATAATGCAAGATGTGATCATGACTTTCACTAGCTATTAATTATCTTTGGCCTAAAGCAAATTAGAAACACAAATAAAAGACGACACTGTCCTATTCTGCTATTGATTACATCTTCAGCTCACATTTCTGTTAGCTGTAAACTCAAGTCTACATGTTCATAATGCAAGGATACGGTTTTACTAGCAGTAATCCATTTGGGAGGCAATTATGATTGACTGCATCTGAACTGCAAAACACCACAGATTTCTGCTGTGCCTTCCTACAACTCTAAAACACTTCAGGTGTACACATTGTTTTAGATATCTATATGCAGTGTCAAAACTAGAAAACTTCCTTATTTAAAGGCTGATGTCTTCTAAAGATACCCAGCCTACCCAGTATTCACAGTACACCCATCAGCATGACATGAGACCTTATTGCTCCCTATAACTACCTGAAGGGAAGTTGTAGTGAGCTGGAGGTCAGCCTCTTCTCTCGTGTAACATGACAAAACTAGAGGGAATGGCTTCAAGCTGCACCAGGGGAGATTTAGGCTGGACGTTAGGAAATACAACTTTTCTGAAAGAGTGATCAGGCACTGGATTGGGCTGCCCAGGGAGCTGGTGGAGTCACTGACCCTGGAGATGTTCAAGAAATGTTTGGATTTTGTGTTGGGGGACATGGTTTAGTGAGAGCTATTGGTGACTGGTTGGATTGAATGATCTTAAAGGTCCTTTCCAACCTTGGTGATTCTGTGATTCTGAAATAGAAATAAATATGAAATTTCCCTTTCTTTCTTATTCCTTCCTCAGCTGAAGCTGAGGTGGCTTATACAAATCTATGCCCATCTACAAAAACCTCCTCCAGCAAAAGTCTGTACTCTCAAATGATTATACATGATAGAGCTAAATGTGGTGGTAAAAACTGCCTGTCGTCTGTTACATTAGGAAGAGCTTCAGTGAGACTTCAGCTTATCTCCACTACATCCCCACAATGCTGAACAAGCAGGCAAGCACAGTTTCCACACATTCAGGATTTCCTGAGGTCATTGCTGTCGGTCTGATTAATTCTGTCAATATCAGCGCAGTGGCAAACTAGCACCATTTGCAACACTTAACGCGTTACTTAGGCAACTTCATTATTTCTCTGACACGCAAATACCTAGACTGATGTACAACTGCCACTTTCTCAGCCTTGGAAACAAGCTGCCCCCTCCATGCTTCAAAACAATACCTTTGTTCAGCAGCAAAGCAGACAAAATACTTGCACATCCCTAAGGTGACACTTTGCAAGGCACTACAGAATTGTTAATGTAGAGACTGCTAAAAAAGAGCCAGTGGGTCTCTAAGGCAGAAAGAGTTCAAAATCATTCACTTAAAATACTAAAACCTTGCTCTTCTTAAATTATCCTCAAGCACAATAGAAAAAAAAAAAAAAATTCATTACAGTAGAAACCTGGTGTATGTTTTGGAAAAAAATAAAAGCAAAAACAAAATCTTTCTCATCTGATTTTGTTCTGAAGGTTTCATACCATAAAATACAATGGAATACACAATTGGGAAACCTTGTGCTTTCTGATGATGCCAATGGAAAGAAATAGCCCATGAACACTGCAGGTCTCTAGTGACTGGAGTTTTGTAGCAGACTTTCATTTTAATATTTCATAAGGAGGTTATACATGCTCTAGAGAGTTAGACTACCACTACTACTCGTTTTTCTCATAAACAATTGGAAATTATCCTCAAGATTCTGCATACATTGTTTTTCCCCCAATCTAGTATCCAAAAATCTCAAAGCACTTTAAAGATTAAACTTCACAACACTCTTAACAGAAAATACAAATATTTTCCTTTCAGCGATGCAGTAGTTGGAAGTAATTCACTCAAGGTCGCAGAATCTAAGGATATGAGAAAAGAATCCACATATCATTTCTTAATTCTAATTCTTTCCTCTTTTAGGATGTTTTGTGTAAAAATATTATCAGAAGTGATAGACAATTTATAGTTATGCTATGAAAATAGATGAGTACAGTTCTGTACCAGAACCTTCCAATTTCTATTTTTCTCAGTCAATATACTGTAAGAATAGAACAAAGTGATTAGAAATAGGAAATGGAAAAAGCCAAGTAGAAAAATTTTCATAAAATACACCAATGTGTTCAAGACTGTGTGTTTTATCTCCCCCTAATACCCACACACAGCTAGAATATACAAAAGGAAGTCTTGTGCAAATAGGCAGGAAATGTCTCTGCAGCTGGGAGCAAAGTGGAAGAAGGCATATCAGCTGCAGTTTGAACAGATATCTGTCCATTCTGAGTGCTAAAATTTTCACCTTGTATTTATGTTTTCGTTGCTTTAGACCTTCGCTCAAGTTGCTGAAGGAAATTCCTATCAGTATCAATCCCTCCAGGAATGCCAAGCAAGTATGGACAATGAACAAGGACATTCTAACTAGGAAACTAGTTCAAGAAGTAAGCACTGTGATGGATCGTTCTTCAGTTGAAGAGATCTCAGTGCCTCAGGTGACCACATAAGAAGTCAAACACACAGCGTATCAGATAGCATATTTCAGAATGGATTTCAGTCAGACTGTTTCTGGCAGATCTACGTTTTTATACTGTAAAATGCTTAACAAAACTCCTAAAACTCACACAGAATTAAATGCCAAGAGGACAATTCTGAAATTGAAGGAAAAGGTAACCTTTCTGCCACAAAACAGAACAGATTCAGCAGAGCATCAGAGAACGCTGCATTAATGTTTAGTATTCCTGACATGAAAATCCTCCTCGACCTCAAAGTTAGGTAAGGAGTTCATATCTATTCAGCTTCTTGTCACCAAGACCATTAAGAAAATGCTGCTGATTAACATCAAGTAGCATATCATCTGCACTGTGAGCAAAATTAATCCATTTAAAATAACAAAGAACTATCACAGGCTATGTGCAAGCAATATACATTCACTAATGTTTTCTAAGCAGAAAGCTTAGAAGCACCTTTAACAAACTTCATACCTGCTGGTTGGGAACCTTCCCAGGTAAAAGCAAACTGGAATTCCATATAATTTATTTAACAACAGATCAAGAATGGCTCACGATTAGCGTTTTTCACCATGACAATTGTGAGGAGCAAGTTTTTGAAAGGTCTAATAATTCTTTTGCCTCCAAAAGTGGCTGGTACAAAAAAAAAAAAAAAACTAAAAAAACATGCACCAATTTCTCCTATCAAGTATACCACACAATCTCACGTCTTTACTAATCTAGCAGCAATTGAATAGGTTTTATATTCTGTTATGATGAACACTTTCACATCCCAGATTGTTTCAGAAAAATAAATAAGTATGCCAAGAGGAAAAAGGAAAAAAAAAAAAAAAGGGGCAAGCAAAACTACCACTGTCTTCTCGTTTCTCAAAAACGTGGATAGTTCAAACAAATTACACTTGAGAACACTTCCCATATCCTAGAGCCAAGACACTGCTTTAGCAGAAAGCATTTTCCACTCCCTTTTAAAATGTATTTAATGCCTTCAAGTTTATTCTCCTGATTAAAAATTACATAGGAACTACCTTTCTAAGTCTGCGACACTACACTGGCAAAAAAAATATATTGCAAAGTGTTATGCTGCTCATGCTCAAGGGCTCTGTGAGCTCCAAATATTTTTAAAATGTTTAGGTTTAAACTGATTATAGTTATTTCTCCTCTAGAATAGAATTTCAAATGCTGATGTGCCTTAGACAATTTACAGTATTTTGGAATACACAGTAAAACACTGCAGGACCAAAAGGAGTAAGAGAAGTTCCCAGTTGACAGCAACAACTGGTTTTCTTCCTGGCATACTGAGAATATGACTTCATCCTCCCCCTCTCTTTTGGAGGAAATGCAAAGGAAAGCACATGGAGGATAAGCAAGAAACTGGGCACTAACAATACAGAGTAAAACAATTTTGACCAGGAGTACTTTGAAGGAAAGATATTCCAGACTAACATATGTTAAATTAAAATGTGTGTTCACCTGAAAGAAAATGCAATTATGGAAATAGCTCTGTCGTTTCGAACACTCCCTAGCATTCTGTGATTACACTTGATTCACTGTCTGCTTCAGCTGAGTTCCTCCAGAGCACGGAAAAAACGTATAACTCTCAGTCCTGTCACTAGCTTTTCTGGGACACAGGCAAAACATCATTTTCACAGAAGCTGAGAGCCCACAGTCCCTGTTAATTTCCATGAGAATTTTGGTTTCACAGCTCAACCTCTCCGCCATTATCACACTGAATGTTAACGAGGCATAAATATTCAGGGTAAACTGAATTACATTGAGATGATATTGGTTGAAAGGAAGAGTGTTTTGCTCTAAAGATTACTGTGGAGGTCCCTGAAGAACCAAAGAAGCATATATTTGAATCACTTGTGAAGGTAATAACAAATATTCACGTTTTATATTTCTATGTTCACAGATTAAATGAACAAAAAGTGAGTTTTAATCACAGAATACTCTGATCATCTCCATCATCTCACTTCAGAGAAAAAGCTTCTTCAGAAAAATGCATAAAATTAATGTAGTATAAACCAGATGGCTTTAAAATTTAAAAGCTACTCCTTCAGGAAATTACTTTAGAAGAACTCTTTACTAACCTCAGCTACTCTTTCCAAAAGTGGCTCCAGCCAGTGTTCATTGCATTCACAGTGACTATCCAGGAAAGTAAGTACTTTTGCTTGTGCTGCATCTGCCCCTCTGACCCGGGAGCGCATCAAGCCTGAAAAGGAAAAAAAAAAACCAACACAAAAACAGTTGAAGTAGGTTCTGGAAGAAAACAATCAACAGCAGTAAGACAAATTATTGCATTTCAAGATAGTAATGAATTTAATTACTCTAACTCAAGACATGAACACACAAGTTTCATTTTAAAAAGAAAAGATGCCTGTTAACAATTCATAATAAAAAAGCCTACATCCTTAACTACTGTACCCAATTTTACAGGTTCTAATCTTATTTAAACAGAAGAATTGAAGTGCCTTTAAAAAAAAGCAGTCCACAGGGACAGCTGGGTCTGCAATACAGCAGATGTCATTAATGGGATAAATGTTACTTAACATCAATAAGGAAAGCAATTTTTTTTTTTTTTTTTGTCAGATATCCAGAATAGGATTTGATTTTAGTAGCACAACTGAAGGATTAGTGCTGAGTGAATGAAGAAGCCCTACCTCTATGACCGTATTGTAGAACTGAAGATCCTAACCATCTTTCCACACTCCTTCCACTTCCTACTTTAGAAGCCATCAGGAATATCCTGTCCATTCTTCTGTCTGCTTCTTCCAGAAATAACTACACTTTGTTAATTCGTGTTTGAGAGCCTCTCTCCTTATCCCTTTCAACCACTTCTTTTCTACATTTTTTGTAAATCTCTTCTGTTTGTTGTTGTAGTTATCTTTTATGTTCTGTTGTTTGTTTTGGTGGTTTCTTTTGGGGGGAGGGTCATTGCTGTTAGCACTTTTTTTTTTAGTTGTTGCTTATAAATCTCACCTTGAAAAGACTTGTTTAACAGAAAACTTCTGGTAAGAAATCAAAAGACTTCTCAACACCTCATTTACCCAGGTCCCTTCACTGATTTGCCCTGTTCCTTTCTTGCTTTTGCTCTTATTATTTGATCAGTGAACGACTTTACCATTCCTCCAAGTCCCTTGTAAGATTTACATGCACACCCTGGAACAACCCACTGTGTTCTTCAGTCAGAAGAAAGTGAGCTTGTTCTCTCCCCTTAGCAAACTTTCTGCCTGTTTTTCTCTATTACTCTTCAAAATTAACTGATTTCATTTACTTTTTTTTTTTAATTAAAATATTTTTTTAAAAAAAAAAAAAAAAAAAAAAAAAAACCACAAAAAACCTGAACAACCAAACGAGAAACTACCAACTACTTCTTTTCATCCTCTTCACAAAATAAAACTTGCAAAATGTCACTGCCAAAGAGAACAAAAACTTAAGAGTAAATAGCTATAGAACAAGCTTGCTCTGCCCAACGTTCAGCAACTAAACAGCTTCAAGAAGATCCTTGTGCTCTCTTATCATAAGAGTACTTCGGTATTGTAGATATGCTCTGTGGTGATCCTGTGTCAGTGCTTTCTACTTTACCTGTTGTACATTTGCAGCTAATCAGATATACTTAGGCTCTCTCCTGAGGCTGAACCCTGGCACTTTTCCATGCAGTTACCTCACAAACCATTCCTCAAGCACAGTGTTAACATTTGTTCTACTTCTGCAGTTCCTCCTTCCAGAGTTTCTTATTTCAAACTTTTGTTTTCATAGAATCCAATGTCTTCTTCTACTTCAAAGAATGTGGAAGTAAACATTTGGGTCATCGAGTCCTCTATAATCACATGGAGCAATAAGACAGGAAGAGTCCAGAAAGTTCCCCTGGCCATAACCAGACTCTTCAAGATGGATGTGTTCCCATAGCAAACTGGTCCTACATATGAAACCTAAATCTACTCTGACATATTTCTGAAAGAAAAGCAGTCAGTGACATCCCTGTCTGAGATACCAGTGTAAGTCTTCATATAAAAACAACAAGCAAACTTAGCATTAAGCTCCATCACAACAATGTAGCAATCAAATGAAATCTGAAAATATTTTCATTAAAGAAAATTATCTGGCTGCATAAACGCATATCTAGGAAAAACTTCCTAACCAGCACAGTAGCTTTCATGCCTGATAACTTCATTCTAATCTCATAAAAACACCAAGAAAACCAGCACTGCACCTTCAATTTGAAAGCAGTTCTTTTCTGACAGTGAGATTTGTCAAATCATATCTTTTTCAGATATACTAGTGTTTATTTTGAAGTATGAATGAAAACTCTGTATGTACGGTACAGAATATTTATAGTACAGAAAAAAAAAATCAAAGGGTTATTTCAGTCAGTTTTTCCATTACTGCTATCACAATCTTCAAATGTTGCATTGAGATGAGATGAGATCGGCTCTCTCAGAACCCCAAAACCATGGAAAGTCATAAAAGGCCTGCTTTCCTAACAAGCCTTTGTTTACAAGCATATTCCAAACAAATGCTTAAATACTAAGAATCCCCAGTAAGTCATTACTTTAATTATGGGATAACACAGGTTTTGTGCATGCAACTTCCAGATTCTGGCAATCTAATGATTCTAGCTGCTCTCCAGTCTGTCAGCCTAGAAGATACAGTGCCTATAAAAACAAACAGTAGGTATCTGCGAACTCAGTCAGCTATTTCAACTGTCAGCTCCTAGTTACTATTTCAAACAGCTGTAGAATAACAGTTGCCTTTAATACTTTAAGCTACACAGCCAGGAAGCTGTGACTAAACAGCTCAGTGATATGAGGCCATAACGTGCAAAGCAACAAAAAGGAAAAGGATGCAAGAAAAGCTGGCATATGTGGTCCCGGCCCTCCTGGCTGCTTAAACTCACGTTTGCCAAACAGTTAGACAGGCTGTCCATCAACTGAATCCTTAAAACCACTTCTCATAAGGGAACCAGCAAAGAGGGATATTTTTAAGCTGGGTTTTTGCAGACTTACATACAACTTACAGTGAGACCTTGCATACAGTTGGAGCAGCTTAACAGAGGATTCACTGGAGTGAGAAAAACAAGGGGCTGAGGATGAGAGGCAATGTATCAAGTTGTCACATGTGCAACTGCACACAACAATAGCAAGTTAATTAGAATTACTATTTTTAATCACAAATACAACAGCTTTTTTTCCTTCCACTTGTAAGGTGATTTATGAAACAAAAAATCCGCCCTTCCAATACAGAAAGTTCCTTTAAAAGACTTGATAAGCAGATAAGGCAACACAGTGGAATTTGTATCTTCCTTTTCCCAAATCAAGCCTACCTTCTCGGCGATCATTTCGAAGAACTCGCACTTTTTCAATTTTTCCCAACAGAGCACCATCATCAGCTTAAAAATAATAATAATAATAATAATTAAAGTGATCAAAACCAGTCTCATTTACCACAAGTATGTTTTTCTTCAAAAACAGAACAAAAACTTCATAGTGGAAAGCAATCATATTTACAAATAATTAAGAATCATGCTTAAAAAATGCCTGTTTGTTGCTCCAGAAATAAAGAAAAGTGACCAGGGTAAGAAATTACCACCATCATTATATTATTTAAAACTAATTTTATTACTGTTATTTAATTACATTATTTTATGTAATACAAAATACATTACTCTCAAAATATTTTTAATCAATTCTGCTCTTTTTGTTTACCTTGAGTAGTTTCTACATTTCATTAAGGAAAAAAAAAAAAAAAAAAAAAAAAAAAATTAAAAATTTTTTCTTCTTTGCTTACTTTTAAGCAACATTAAGGTTTAAACTAACCTAAAGTATCAATCAGCATTGCAAATGTAGACATTGACTTCCGTTAGAGTGTTACTCAGAGGTTCACTGTTCAAATTAACATTACGATATCCTAAAAGTTTTTAAATCTTGACTTTCTTTATTCACCAAGAATTTTCCAAAAGTGATGGAGAGCAGCAGCACTCCAAAGAAGTATTTTGTGCAAGTGCCATGGGTTTTATTTTTGCATCATAATGTACTAAGGGAAGGCTGTTTTCAACTCTAAACTCTGCTTCTTCTGCTAACAGGAAGCAATAAAATAGATCTGAAGTATTTTAGAACTCTTCATGCTTCCACAATGACAAACACAAAAGAATTAAGAGCTGGTTTAGAACCATACTTTACAAATTCCCATTCATATGACTAACTCCCAACTGAGTCACCTACTTTCATTTATGGAAAGACTCAGCAAAATAAACAAAATAACATTTGGACATTATAAAAGTACTTACGATCATTACTGTAGTCATCCACTAGTATGATTTCCTTAATAAGATGTGATGGGCTTTTTTTAAGGACACTGAAACAGACAAAAAAGCATTCAATACAAAGCAGTTTCCATCTCATATAAGCAGTGCTTTTAATGACAGTATTTCTTAAACTACAGTTTAATATAGTCCAGGATCCCATCTTTCTACAACAGCTATTAGCTTACTCGGTAAAGAGTTTGTGAAAAAAAGAGCACAGAGTTGTTCTTCCCTCAGATTTCCAGCCTCCAGAAATGAGTGAATTACACAGTTTGGACAATGGAAGCTTTGCAGATATCCTCAGATAAAATAGCGCCTGAAAAATCCATCTTCCACGTATTCTTCTTGAAACCATTTATACAACCAATCTCAAGATATCTTCTTGCAATTAATTTCACACTTTCATATGTTTGTAGTTAAGGGAAGCATTTTTGTCTGTTTAAGATCACTCTTTCAGGATGTAAGACCTGGAGGCATCAGTGAAATTAAGAGCCAGCTTCATCCTTTGTAAATGGTACAAGAAAAGCATAATGGATTGCTTTGGATGATGGATTTGCTACTTCTCTTTATCAGAAGCTATTCTAGCACAAGAAAAGTGCTTTTTGTGGGAAAAAAAAAAAAATACAAAGTCATGGATTGTCTCCCAGGCATACCTGACAACAGTTCGAAGTAAAGCAGATCTTGCCTCATTATGAAAGGTGATCACCACACTAGTGGCTGGCAAATCTATCCGCCATTGTTTCCGTTGACACCTGAAAGACAAAAAGCCTGTCAATCTAAGATTTACATTACAGTCTTAACAAACAGTCTTCATCAAAAAGCAGTTATCTACTAAACTGTGTACACACTGTATCTACCTAGAAAGAATGATGTATCTTATTTTCAAACAAGATGATTTATAATCAGCTCCTCTTTTACCACTCTTGACACTCATCTTTGTATACAACAGACTGAGCCAGGGTCAGATTTGGGTAGATAAACATTGCTGTACTACAATCGCTGTAGTTTACTGTACATACCTTTCATGCAACTGAGTATGAAACCAGAGTTCTATTTCACTTCAAGACCACTTATTAAGTCTAAGTAAATGAGCACATTAATAAAAAAGCAGAGGTTCACAAGCTGTATGTCTCCTTTAGAAAAGCACTCATCCACTTTCATTTTTATTTTTAATACTGCATCCTAGTCTTGCTTGTACAAGTAACATCTCATTAGCATAGAAAACTGTTTAAGATTGAGACTTACAGTAGTCCATCTACACTAGCTCATTTTTCGTGATCTCTTCAAATAATAAGCAAAAAAAACCCCAAAATTCTAAAAATACACGAACTCTTGTACATCTACGTAAAATTAAGCTACTCGAATACCTTGACAATAAACCTAAAAAAGGACTCATTGTGCAATGAGAACAGCATACTAAAAATGGTGTAACAAAGAGTTTGTGTTAAAATCATTGCTGTCTGATCATAAGATCATAAGATCATAAGATCATAAGTCAAGATCATAATCTTCATTCATAAGTAACATATGAGTGATGCATTTCTTCACACATGCTTTATCAAACATTTGGGGCACAATTCCAACAGACCTAAACATCTTCAGAGAGGGCAATCCCAGTTGAATTAGCATACACCTGTGGTGAAGTCACCAAGGAACTGTAATCTATGCAGTATGAATCAAGCTAGCTATTAAGGGAAGAAAGGAAAGTTGTATTACTACCCAAACTTCTAAAACAAGCCAAATGCTTGTATAAAAAAACTGATGAAACAACTGTCACAAATCATAAATCACACAACCTTCAGCTTCAAGGAATTAAAGCGAGCAATCTGCTGCTTCTCCTTGTCCATGCTCCAGAATCCCAAGGAAGAATAGTGCTTTCAATGCAACACGCCCATAAGGTCATACAAATGTTTGCACTGGTAATGAAACAAAATGCTATTGTGCCACTGTGTTCTCACTGCCCTGAAGAAAAACAAAGCCTGTGCCAAACCTACAACTGCTCTGTGTCAGATTAGCAAGGCCTTATCTAGCTTTCTTCCTCCAGTGGTGGGTGTACAAGACAGCATTTCCACAAACACCCAAGTTGAAGCAATACATCACAAATACTCATGGAAAGTAAAGAATTAAAACCTCCTCTATCATGATCTTTTGGCAATTCATCTAAACAGCTGAAAGGAATTCAGCTATTACATACAAAAGCCTACAAAAGCTAAAAGAATTATCCTGTTTTCTGGTAATTTCCAAACTGCCCACACAAGATGAGCCTCCTGTGCACACAGTTTCCCATGAAGCCCTGACACAGGCCAAGAAGCTTGGTCCTTTACTGATGAGCACTCAGAATTCAAACTTGAAATTTAATCTGTTGAAATGTTCCATTGAAACCTGCATCGTAAGTCATGCTCAATAATTCAAAGCAACCCTAGAAGATCACAATTAAGCGTGACAAGAATTAATTGAATACTGTATCAATCCAATTTAGAATAAGGTCATGAAATTGAGTAAATTTAGTTCAAGTCTATTGCAAGCAAGTCATAATGCCAAATTAAATGCATTAGAATAATAATAATAATAAAAATAGTTATACTGTTCTCTTTGCATAAAAGAGCACATCTAAAGAGGTAATTAATCATGGCAATGAAGCCTGTTCTTTAAAAAAAAAAAAAACTCAGGAGAATAACACTACTACATATTTCAGAGGAAGAAAAGATTTTTAAACTCTCAAATAAAATGAGAGGAATGCTTCAATTAAGCATTTCTCTTCTTTTTATGTTGGTGTCAATAATGCCACAGTTAAACTCAACAAACCAAAGAAACAATGCCATCAGTTTTGGGAAGCGTGATTTTCTTCCCTCGACTTACAGCACTTGAACTGAAAATATCAAACTAGACCTTCAATGCTTAGAAAAAATTATTAAAATTAATGAGAGACAGAAAGTATATTTTTTCCCCCAGAATTTTGAATCAGAGCTAGCTCATATCATTAGCCAAATACTTGAAATCTCTGAGTTTTGTTGAAATCATCTTTTGGTAGAAAAATTCCCTTTAACCAAGGAGACATTCATTACAACAGATGGTATCTGGGTACTAAAGAGACAAGAAAGTTTCCTTCTTATCTATTTAGAATGAAAATTCGAACATGAGTCCAGAGCCTGCTAATACCTGTAGAGTCAGGGGAAAAAAGGTTTAATTGAAATAAAGACATTACCAAAAACCACTGATCTGAACTGTGGGAGGCCCAAAAGCATGGAATATTCCACCCAGCTCCTACTCAGGAGACTATTTCACTCTGACCAAAGGATGACTTTAGAGATTTCTGATTATGACTGTGACAGTCACCTCCTGAGTCTCCAAAATCCACCATGATCAGGTCAGCTCTCAGCCTGAGACATGTTATAACCAGACAGCAACATAAGAAACCCAGAGCTTTCTCAATCCTGTTGAAAGTGGTAGTGTCATGAGCATCACCTCATTTACATTCCTCCAGACCTTCTCACTTCATTTCAGATGATCTATCAGCCTGTTTCTCGCTTTTCCCTTTTACTTAAACAATGGCAAGCAGCTTAAAGGGCCAAACCAAAATATTTTCCCGTACTGCTGACAAGTTTTCACAAAATTATCAATTAGAAAACTTGTCTTGATGCTAGTATAAATTTCTTAGATACAGAAAAACCTAAGCAATATAGTAAAAAAAAAGAAATGCATTTACACATTCAACTGCTTCTAAACAACCTAGAGAATTTCAGCTCTTAAAAAGTATTATTATGTAGCTATTTCAGAGTCAAATAGCCTTTATAGACATCAATTAGTAAAGATGCAAGTATAGAAACAAATATTTCCCCAGTTTTCCTGAAGAAAAATGTTGCAGCAATTCCAAAGGAAATATTAATTTTAACCCAGCTGCCTTCAATTTTTACTGAAAATAACATGCTTCCAAGTGTCAAATGCTCAGTTCTTTAACATATTCTTCCTCCTATGGCTATTACTCTTGCACTTTCCATTAGGCAGATATCAAACAAGTATTTAATGCAATGTTTTCAGCTTCTGCAGTTACTGTCCTTGCCAAAATAGAAGGAAAATTAATTGCAAGACAGCAAGGAAAGCACCATGAACAATTTGCAGGAATTACTGCTAGAGTAATTTCCTTTTCTTTAGAAAGATGACTATTTACAGATTGATGGGCACTTAAATCTGCTTCATAGCAAAGTCTAATAAGCCCAGCACAGATGCAGCCTTTCCCCGGGACTATCTCTCACACTGCCTTGCAAGGCTCTTTTCTAGGACCATTTAAAAAAACAAAATAAAAATGAAAAATAAAAATTAGCCAGGGAAGTCACATCACAAAGTCACAACAACCACAGCTACTGTAATATAATTTGTCTTCTGTCATCTCTCTTATCTAAGTTCTTCTCAACAAGAGATAGCATTTGTCTGTTAGAACCCCCTTAGAGAATATTCAATATCTAATTAAATATATAGAAAATTTCCAAACACAACCTAAATTATGAAAGTTTACTTTTCAGTTCAACTAATGCCAGACTACAAGACTTGCCTTACATCATCTGCAATATTGCATGTTTAAAGAGAACACAAACCACACTATTATATAAGGGATTTAACATTACATAATAAATATCCACGTTTTTCCAAATACCTCCTCTGCTATACTGCTGCTTACTAGGGAGTATTATGAAGAAAAAAAGTCACCTTCCTTTTCTCCCTCTGGCATCTCCTCTAGCTTCTTCTACACACAGCTGTGAATGTACACTCATCCTAGCTGCAGAATTACTTAGGCAATTCAGCTACACACAGCTGGTTAATTTCATGCTTTGAGGCTGTACTTGCCTTGTTTTTAAAAGAAAATATTAATATTTGTAATTATGAAGTCCAACTTTTTTTTCAAGTCACTGACATCATAATGAGCAACCTTCATTTTAATATTAATCAAATCTGCTTAAGCAAGGTTGGTCCAAATCACTTAATTTCCTTACCAAATGTCAGTCTCCTTCAAATGAGAAAAATGTTTTTATCTTGCTTTGAAGCATGCTAATTTGCTGATTCAGGAAGTAGTACAAGCAGAGAGACATGGCAAAAGCTTTCAAGCATCTGAAGTTTTAGTTTGGCCCCCAAATGGTACTGGTGCATGAGGTTATCTCTTCCCTAGGACTCTATGCTTCCTGTGTACCTGTCCCTCTCTCAGCTTTGTATCATCTGGAAACTTACTGAGATTGCACTCTGCCACACCATCTATGTTATTAATGAAAATATTAAGCAGTATTGGATCCAGTATTGACTCCTGCTCCACGCTGGTCACCCTCAAAAGTAGCTTCTTCTATATACCTGCTTATTCCACTCCATAGGTTCAGAGAAGCCACAAAGCCGCACCAACACACAGCAGGCTTCCATTCTCTCTCAGAAGCAGGTGAGATGAACTTCGTGGTTGGGGAAAAAAGAAAGCATCCTTTTGTTTACATAAATGTGGTCTATTAGATGGAATACCACATTCAACAACTGCCTACCTCACTCCTACAAGAAGAGGAAAACATCACCACAAATATAGGATGGTGATTCCTGCAACTCAGGGAAACAAATTTGTCATCATTGAGCAATCATTCCAGCATAATTCCAAGCTACACAACAATTCAACCTCTGGTATGAACTTTGAAGCCATAAACACAGGACAGTTTATATATCAGAAAAACATGTCAGATTTACCTGACTTTGAACTAATATAATAGCATGTGTTCACAGCACTATCTTGCCTACAGTTTCCCTCAGAAATCGGAAAATGGTTCAGCAACCAGCCCAGCTTTGTGGGAAAGACCTGCAAGCCAACTCCATGTAAAAAACTGCCACATGTCTCTGGAGACTAGCAAGTATAGAAATACTGCTAGAGTTTCGCTGCAGGGATACTGATGAGAGCTGTGTTTATTGAGATTTCAATCACCAGAGTGAAGCTAAGAACCCTTCACAAACATAGAAACCAAGAAAAGTCATCAGATAAATAGGGACAAAACGAGATTGAAATACAATGTCAGTCTTGATATCAAATACACACTGATGGAAGTTCTGGAAATAGGACAAACTTGAACAAGGAGTGTTCCTTGTTGAACAAGCAGCCCTGCAGAGAAGAACCTGGGGTTCTTGATAGGTGAAAAACTTAACATGAGCCAGCAGCGTGCCCTTGCGACTCAGAAGGCAAATGGTATCCTGGGCTCCATCAGAAGAGGGCTGGCCAGCAGGGACAGGAAGGTGATTGTCCCCTTCTGCTCTTGTGAGGCCCCATCTGGAGTACTGTGTTCAGGCCTGAAGTCCCCAGTACAGGAAAGACAGAGAGCTGTTGGAGAGGGTCCAGAGGAGAGCCACAGAGATTATCAGAGGCTTGGAGCACCTCCCCTATGAAGACAGGCTGAGGAAGCTGGGCTTGTTCAGCCTGGAGAAAAGAAGGCTGCGGGGTGACCTCATTGCAGCCTTTCAGTACCTAAAGGGAGCCTACAAACAGGAAGGGAATCAACTCTTTGAAAGGGTTAATAACTGTAGGACAAGGGGAAATGGTTTTAAGTTGAGGAAGGGAAGATTTAGGTTGTATGTCAGGGGGAAATTCTTTATAGAGAGAGTGGTGAGGTGCTGGAACAGGCTGCCCAGAGAGGTTGTGGATGCCCCATCCCTGGAGGTGTTTAAGGCCAGATTGGATGGGGCTCTGGGCAGCCTGGTCTAATATTAAATGTGGAGGTTGGTGGCCCTGCATGTGGCAGGAGGGTTGGAGATTTGTGATCCTTGAGGTCCCTTCCAACCCCGGCCATTCTGTGATTCTGTGAAGATTCATTGTTCTTTACTCCACTGTTTAAGGATTGCAGCACAGTTTATTGTTCCTTACTGAAAGTTGGAGAACTTCTGCTACAGGAGAACAGCTCTCTGTTCAAAATAAGCAAACAAAAAGGCTAATCCAAGCCAAACATGGCTCAGTTGGGAACTTACTGATCATGTCTCGTGTCAGGAATGTTTCGGTCCATTCGTAGTTTGTCACTTTCTACCTGATTGAACTTATTGCGAGCATATGGATCCTGACCAGATCGCACCATGGTAGCGCTAACATAAGCATCTTGATCAAAGTCTTGCCACCGAACTTTGCCTACAAAAGAAAAACAGGAACATATTCGGTTTAACCTCTGCAACTTCAAGAGAATTCATAAATCCAAATATAACTAATCTTATTTTGCAATGAAGTAATTAAGCCCCACAGTATTTTTAACAGTGTAGCGTCACACTCACTTTTGCACATTAAGTTGCTCCAGAACACCCTGTGAATTAATGAAATTGAACCATTTCACAGCTCTCAGTTCACACAACTAATCATCAGATGGCCATGCATCATCTTATCTGCTATTTTGTTGGTTTTGCCCCTACAACCACAACTTCAATTTAAAATATAATTTAATATATTCCAAATTTTCATACACTTTAACAGAGTAGATCTTTTTAAAGGCCCAGGCTTCAAAGACATTCTAATTTAATTTACTACTGTCACATTATTCAAACAGAAACCAAACGATTCGAGAAACAGGGCTTTTAGAAGTATAAGACGACATTATTCTTAAAAGCTAGCATTTCAGGTAGGCAGAGCACCACACAGCTCTCCAATGCTAATTACATGACATAACTGCAACCTTCTTTACATTAAAAAGGAATCACAGATTAATTACTCTTTAACAAAGAAAGTACTATTCACGTAACTGATTGCAGCACTTGAACTTGTATACATAAAACTGAAAGGCAGATTAACATTTATTATCCAGGAACAAAATTTCAGAATGTTCACCTTCAGCTGTAAAACAGTTTAATATCAAATGTATCAAAGGTCTAATTTCTCACTTCTGATTCAACACTTTCTTTTTGTACTGACAGTCAAACTTCTGTTACCTACAGCAAATTTATACCAGCTGTAACTAAGGAAAGAAAGTTACAGAGCTGACATTCTAATATAATATACTTAAGATCAGCTTTTACGCAAATACAAAAGTTCAGGCATATCCTACAGTATACCAATACACACAAAAGGAATACTATTACAACAACTATTAATGAGAGCTAGAGATTGCTCAGACATTTCAATGTTTACCTTTCTTCCTTCTCTCAATTTGTGAAGCACAGAAACTAAGGTGTTCCTCATTTAAAGCTTTCATCCATAAAACATGCTTTAATTATCTTACGTGAACTTCTGTTAGGAGATCCCAATATTGAAAGAAAACTTCTATTTCAATGCAATTAAATATTATAATTGCTTGTTGCTTACCTAAAACCTAAATTGAGCAGGTTGGTAATTTCAATCTTATGTGTGAGTTTTAGGGCAACCTACACTGACAGCTAACATGATAATAAATCCAACAGTAAGTGAACTGCAGAGTTTGCTATTTAAGTCAAATAAAGCCAAAAATCACTCAGTTGGTCAGGTATCTGGAACCAAACAAATGCTGAACTTGCATTTGACAAGTGCTTATTTTACAGATGCAAAGGTTAGATGTTCTTCAGTTTTAAGGTGATCACTAGTACAACTGTTCTGAGACTGAGAAGCTGAGCAAAGATAAGAAGAAAAAGAAGTGAAATATAGTGAGGCTGCTTTTCATCTACAGACAGAAACAGTTATTTCCCAACTCTAAGGTCTTGGAGGAGGTAATCAACTGAAATAGTGCAATATATATTTATTTTTTAAACACACCGGGTGGTTTTAAACAGGACTTTTTTTTTTTCTTTCTTTCTTTCTTTTTTTTTTTTTTTTAAACTCTGAAAAAAAAATTAGCTCTATTAAAAAAAAAAAAAAAAAAAAAAAAAAAAAAAAAAGTGGATTTGTTGTAGGAAAGAAGTCAAGAAGGGAGTCCATTTCACAGTGCTAAATTTAGTGAAAAGCAGTGCCAGCCCATAGAATAAAAAGACAAGTGAATCTGGCTTCAGAAGGCAGGAGGCAGGCAAAGCCTGGCTCTGGCTCCAACAGAAGATCCTGTCAACTGTGCAGAATATACATCAGATCCATTAGGGAAAAACTCAGATAACAGCAAAAGCACCTTGAAGTCAGACAGAAGGAAAAAAAGCACAGCAGATAAATTTGTGTGCAACCAAGCAGCAGACCTCGAAGTGTAGGAATGGATAGACACAGAATTCTACAAATAGCTTGCTCTCCCTCTTCCTGACTCAGAGGAGCTTAAAAGCAGTAGGATACCTAGTATAAATATGATCATTTTGACTAAGAGACATTAAGAGATTTGTTAACTAACAGAAGCAGCTAGCTGACTAACTGTTGAAACTCTTATCATTGCCTGTTCAAAGCTCAAAAAAAGCATTTAAAAAGAACCTGCCATATAGTTTTGGTTTTGCTACTTATGCAGAGAGTTCAGGGCCAGACAGTCTTACTACAAAAGCTGATGTCACTATTTGCACAAAACACGAAATACAATTTCACAACACAAATAAATCATAAAATGACAAAAGAGTGATATACTTGGTTGTATGGGAAGTAGTATAAAACGTTTAACTACCATTTTTCTAAATAATCTTTAAAAACAGCAAATAATTTCTTATTTTGTATAAATCTTGAAAGACATCATATTGCATAATAGTGAAACCTAAATTACAGGTCCTCTAACCTCAGTGGAAAAAGCAAGGCAGCTTTGAACCAACCCTCTCCTGAAATTTGATCATTTTGTTTTGAAACACCCCAAAAGTTTCTGCAGAAGCATGAATTCCATTTGAATTCAAAAGTCGCCTACTCAAATAAACAAAATAGTGATTTGAGAGTGCAAAATTCTGAGTAGCCTTTGATATTTGACTTGAGATTCATGCTGTCTCGCAGTAATGATTATCCTGCCTGTTAAATCAAGTCTTAAAGAGGCTAATCAATGGATTAAAAAGGAGTTCTGACCTGTCCTACTTTACATCTAATTTTGCTTCTAACCTTCCAGGTTCTGATCTCTCTCCCTTCTGACCTGTAATACTTCCCACCTCTTAATACTTAAACAGCTACTTTGGGCAACATAGAAAGGAAGACCTCTGAAGACATAGATGGGGTTTGGCTCAGAATACATAAATATTCAATATTTAAGAATATTGATTTTTTTAAGTCTTATTTTCCAGGTAAATATTAGCAGAAAGAAGAATTCTAGTTGGAAGATATGCACTGGCTGACCTGTAATTCCAGTATCAGGAAAAAATATTCCTTCAACTTGCAGAGATTTCTGTTCAAGAAAAAGTACTTGGAAAAATCTGCCAGAAACCAAGCTGGGTTGGAAAAAAATTGCCAAAAAGCATATATACATAACCAGAGCCTCATTTCCCCTCTCCAGAAAGCAAGAAGACAAAGCAATCCAAAGGCTGCAGGAATAAAACGCCATGAATTTTAAACAGCTTATCCAGTGAAAGGGTTTTATGACTGTAAAAAAAGAATCACACGTCACATTACTGGGCACGGAAGTTCCCAGTTGCTTAGAAGGAAGTTTACTTCAATTAGGTCTTTCCTCCAGATCTCAAACAAATTCAAATGTTTCTCTTATTTATAGCTAAGAAAAATAAGGATTAACTGTGGAATAAAAAAAAATTTGTGAAGCAATCTGATCAGAAGGTGTCATCTTTGTAAAGTTCTTGAATACAGTGTCAAATATTTAAATCCATTTCAGCTCTTCTGCACTCCTTGCTATAGCAATTCTAGTTAAACATTAAATCTCATTGATGTGAAGCAGTTAAGAGGCAGAAGAATTTTTATAGCAGTCACATCAAATGAAGGTTCTGTAACATTTAACTATTCCATCTCATCTTCAAGTTATGACTCTACTTCTTTCAAATATCTAGTCATACGGCGCTGTTTCTTTGCGAATATGTGACAAATACTCAGGAAGAATAAGGAAAAATAAGGTACACCATCAGCATGCTCAAAAAAGAAAACACCTACTACTTCATACCTTTGTCACAAAAGCTACACAAAGGCAAAAAAAAAATATGCCAGAACCTTGATTGAATCTTCAGTCAGAAGTATAGCTCCAAGGTGTCTTGTCTGTTGCCTGTCAACACTGTACACAGAGAAATGGACAACTTTTCTGTTAGATGCTTTAACAGCAGCATAAACCTATTGCAAGGCGACATAAATGTACTAGCAAAGAGTAATTTTCTTCCTATGATTTTAAGCCCAAAGTAATAGTGAAGCAGGTAAGAGGAAGGTGAAGCCTTAAGAACAGAGATACATGCTAATCCTATCACTTCCAAACTACAAAGAATTGTTAGAATCAGAAGAACTGGTTTGCTTTATGGCTATCAAGTAGTTGCATCTATGCCTAGGGATCTTTCATCACAAACTTTACTGCAATACCTGGAGGCAATGTCTCCACACTTTGTGCTTTGTCCTCACCATCACTGACATGCAAGTCTTTCCTTTTGGCATCGATGTCATTTGGGTCCTCCTGAAAAACAAAGTATACCAGTTAGGAATATTATGTTAAAGATTATTTAATTTTGTGTTGTCAAACAACACAGCAGTAACCAAGCTTATTTAGTAGTCTAGCTAACTCAGCTTATTTAGTAGTCCAAGAGATACAACTTTAGATTTTGGAAGATAAAACATAATCATTTCCTCTACTGCTTAAAAAAAAAATAATGAAGAAATCAACAAAATGTTGGTGCAGACTTCTGCATTTAATTTACACAACAATGCTTTCCGGGAGAAAGTAAGAATTAAGAAGTAAAGATAGAATAAAAACATTTTGACCAGAAATATTCAAATATGCAGGGCAGGTAGAAATTAAATGAAACATGAAGAAAGTACTTCTCCAATAAGGAATAACACAACTATGAAAGTTACCTGAAAAAGAAGTCAGATTACCTTGCAATAATATGCCAAGTGACAGTTTTCTGACTGACCAAAAAAGCCTCCTAAATTGTTACTCACAAGTTATTATTTTCATCTTCTTTTGAGATTATTCTGGGTTTCACAGGTAAATGATGGATTTGTTATTACAGAAATATGGATAATACCCATTTAGAGAAACCAAACAAGCAAACAAACAAACAAAACCACTAAGATTTTCTCGTCGCCTCTCTCCAAATTCCAAATTTATTCTCAAAGTCTTATTTTCCTTTCAACAGGGAAAAAAAAACAACCTCATACCCTTACTTCATTATTGTAAAAATATAACAGGAACGTGGAACTGAGATTCATATTGTATTACATACTTGGATGAAGTGGAGAAGAGTGTAAATTTAAAAAAAGAAGATAATTACCGATGGTATGCTGATTCTCACACTGAGACAACTGATTTCAGAGCCAGCTGCTTTTGCCGCTCTCAGACACTTAAAAGAAATTTTGTTGCCCTTTCTACATCTCCATCAAAGAAGTTCTAATTACAAGCTCTGGTTTTTGGGTGGCAACCCCACTAAAGGCAACATCTTTCCTACCAACAGCAGAACTGTTTGTACCTCTTCTAGTAATCTGCCCAAGCCTCCCCAGTAAGGTGACGGTGTGCAAGTTGCCTACTGCAAGTGGACTCAGCTATGGCTATTGCCATTCCTAAACTGTATCTGGTACTTCTTTAGAATAATAAGTGGATGGAATGAGCCAAATTCATTTTGGAAAACATTTAAACCAGAAATGATAGCTTTTCAGCATGCCCCCAGGCACAAACACTGAACTTCCCAATGTAAACTCAGCTTAACTGTCTATATTAAGTAAGAACTAATAACTGGAGATATGAATGTAATGTCTCATATTCCTAAAACACCAAAATGCAAAACTCGATGTTTTATTGTTAGTAATCATTTCTAGAGAAGCAGTTATATAAACACTGAAGTTAAAACCGAAATGCTATCAATGCATGTTTTTCACAGAATCATGTATCGAGGATATCAGAGAGGGAATTTGTCCAGGTTCTTATACTAAATTCACCATGCAGTCTATGCTTTGAGCTACAAAGCCTTGAGAATGTCACTTAAAAAAACAACTTTAAGGCAATAAGAAAACGCATGTTGAGAGAATTATCGTTGCTCATGGAGGTGAATCAAAGTATATTTCAGTGTGCCTTAAGCCCCAGCAGCACAGTGAAGGAAAAGCTGTCCTTAGTTCTAGAAAGTCTGGATTTTACTATTTGGTTCTTTTTAAAGATAGCAACACTTTATGAATAACTACAAATATCAACTGTAGGTGGCAGAAGATCTTCCCAACACAAGAATGTCAAGTTCTGCAGAAATTCTACCAGGCTCTTGACTGTCCCATGAGACCAAGACAAAAATATGTTAATTGAAAAATAAAAGCAAAACATCAATAAAGCATCCAAAAGAAACTGGAGGGATTTTTCATTAAGTTAACGAAAGGTGCTGAGTGCCTTCTCATTCTTTCTTCTTCCACCCTCACACCTTTCAAGTCTTTAAGGAAAAGCACTGCCATTCCTACTGAGTTTAACAGCATAGGAGCATGAGTCATTAGGCACGATTATATGTTATTTCCCCTTGTTTTCCCAACCACCTCCCCAATTAAACTACAAAGGACAAAAGTTAGACTTAGAAAAGTTGAATGCAATTTTGAATACTTTTGAATGAGAGACTTGTAGCCAGCTATTTGGGTGCAACCTACAGAAATTCTCAGGCAAACCACACTGAAAGGATGGAAGTTCCCAACACAGATTGCTGGATATTCAATCTCCCTCCCAGATCTCCCTATCGAACAGAACAGAGACAGCAGAGTATGGGATATCGACCTATAACCTGTGTGCCTTAATTAAGATATTGTGGTATTTTTCTTCTCCAAAAGAAGTCTATTTTAATGATGGGATCCTGGGCTCCATCAGGAGAGGGGTGGTCAGCAGGGACAGGGAGGTGATCGTCCCTCTCTACTCGGCTCTTGTGAGGCCCCATCTGGAGTACTGTGTCCAGGTGTGGAGCCCTCAGTACAAGAAAGACATTGAGATTTTGGAAAGGGTCCAGAGGAGGGCGACTAAGATGATCAGGGGGCTGGAGCACCTCCCCTATGAGGACAGGCTGAGGGAGTTGGGCTTGTTCAGCCTGGAGAAGAGAAGGCTGCGGGGTGACCTCATTGCAGCCTATCAATACCTGAAGGGAACCTACACCCACGAGGGGAGTAAACTCTTCAAAAGGGCTGACAACAGCAGGACTAGGGGAAATGGATCGAAGTTGAAGGAGGGAAGATTTAGGTTGGATGTTAGGGGGAAGTTCTATACAAGGAGAGTGGTTAGGCCCTGGAACGGGCTGCCCAGGGAGGTTGTGGATGCCCCGTCCTTGGATGTGTTTAAGGCCAGATTGGACGGGGTCCTGGGCAACCTGATCTGAATGTGTGTGTTTGGTGGCCCTGCTAGGCAGGGGGGTTGGAACTACATGATCCTTGAGGTCCCTTCCAACCCGGGTGATTCTGTGATTCTGTGATTCTGTGATGTTCTATTTTAACCACCAACTTTCAGCCAATAAAGCATTTTGAAGATATCTGTAGACATCCAATGCCTTTAAAGGGGAAAAAAATACATTATATCCTCTAGAGAAAACTCGAAGTGCACGAAAGGGAAAGAAAGCAGACATTAATGCCACACAGATATAAATACACCAGGATCAACCACTTTCTTTGGATCTCTAACTGTAAATTGTTTCACCATGTTAATTTGGAGCAACACAAACAAAGCATATGGTCAGATAACATTCCTATGTTGTCATCATCACAGGAAAGCGTTGCCTTTTCAGCTTACTTACAGTGAAACAAAATACCCATTTCTAATGTAATCTTAAAAAGCTTTTTGCATTTGATGAATAATCTTAGCAGATCATTGCAATTCTTGTACTAACAAATTTCATTCACATAAAAAGCTAAGCTTAAGATTGAAACAACCAGAACTGCTCAATGAGAGGCATAGTTCCAAGCTCTGATGATGAAAGAGATTTAATGAGCAAAATAAGAAAAAGGCTAATGCTATAACAGTATTAACACTATTAATATTTAACAGTTCATGATCCTATTTTCCTGGTGTACTAAAAAAGCTGACAACATCAAGCTGTCAATTGTAGCCATTTTTTATTTGGACAAGTATTTTAAGCTTGCTGAAAAAATTGAAAGGTAGCTAGCCAAACATAACTAACAGGTTATAACCAGGTTGTAACAGGTGCTAACCAAACATAAGATGCATGTGCAACACCACTACAGTAATATTTGTGGTCCTCACTTGTGATGTTACTTTCTTAGGTCAGGATACACAAAAGCTACAGCAGTGCTTTCAACTGCAATGCAGGTGTGGGGATTTTGCATATACTGAATTTTATTTATTTTTACACGTCACAGCTTTCCATTATTCTTGATTTATCAGATGATCTACAAAGAGACAAAATTGCAAGCTTTCAACTCCATTCAGAGAGAAATCTTACAGAAAAACTGTAGTAATATTAAGATGTACCAAACAAAACTAACTGAACTGTATTTAAACTTCAAACTCAATTACACTTCCATTACCCCAAAAGCTCAGAAGCTAAAACAATGTACACTTATCAATTTGTTAAAACACTCCTTGCAAATCAGAATCACAATAGATTTTTTTCAGCTGCAAATTCAAATAAACTGATATCTTCACCAGCTACCCAACTCTGCTTTTCATTTATAATTTAGTAATATTTCAGCAAAAAGGAAAGTGCTTACTTCTCAGATTTAATGCGTAGGTCACTAAGTAATGCCTTCTATTTATTTTTATTTAGCTACAAAGAGCGCAATTATGCTATTTGACAGAGGAAATTCTCAGCTGCAAGACATTATTTTTCAACATAGTCACCACCAGTAGCTTGCATTTTCACCAGAGCCTGCATGCTGTGCTCCTGACAATCTGCACCAGTGGACATGACCCACTGTCGCCACTGCTGAAGCGCACCACCCACTGCCTCATCATGATCACGTCCACTCTGTGGTCTCCAGAAACATCCAACATGCATCAAATGAATGCCAGCAGGTGCCATTTTTTCCTCATGGAATAACTCAATTACACACTTTTGCTTCATCAGCACTTTCACATTAGATGCCATTTTGTCAGATTGCCCCTTAGCAGCCATCTCTCACACAGCAATTAAATGTAACAGAATATTGGTGGGAAGGTTCAGCCTCTACTGCCACCAACATCTACGTCTGACACCATAGGTGGGAGGCATTACTTCCAGAGCAGCCTTCGCATAGCTCAGAGTAGATTGTGCTATAGGTAGAATTGAATGTATGAGCAGTTTTTGTTGTTTGGGTGTGTTGTTTGTTGTTTTGGGGGTTGTTTTTGTTTTTGTTTTTGTTTTTAAGGCTGATTAATCCCTATAGTACAGCAACTTTGTATTTCAGAAAATGTTAAAATGTCTCTACACCTGAAAAAGCATATGTTAGTTCATAAGCCTTGCAATTGCCCTTTTTCTTCTCCTGCTCAACTCATCCACCCCGTTAAGACAA